GGGGGGGGCACCATTATTGAACTCATTCCTTTTGTTGCCTGCAATATTGAGTCCCTCCCTAGGACGTGCACAGAACATGGATGGTCTTGAAGGGCGAGATTGGTACGTGAAGTATAATCCAGTTTTGAATGGCCAATTCAGGCTGCTGTAGCTGGCCAGGCAATAGAAGTGAATACAAACCATGAACCGGTGTAATGCTAGGAATTCACCTTCCACCTCTCTTTTGCTCTGCAGTTGTTTGGATGGTGCCTTTTGCATGAATCTTTTCCAGTGGTTCTGGGTATACTCCTACTACTCAGAGCAAGGAGAAAGAAGAATGTTGTGCCACTTTGGTTGTGCATGCCCTTTAACAGGGTCACAAGAGTAATAAATAATAGGGTCAAACAAGTGCAAGGTTGTAGACAAATAGTTCTGTATCAGATTAGTAAAAAAAAAAAAAAGAGAGAGAGAGATATTAAAATGTACACAGTCTAATCCAAACATAAAGAGTTGGACAATCGCATTTTATTTTGCACCATTATCTCATCCCAGACCTTCTTTCTTTATTGCGCAAGTCAAAACTTGCCCTGGTTCACAGACTGTTCCAGCAGGCTATTTTAAAGTAGATTTTGCCTTTTTGTTAATGTCACAGCCAAAATGCAGTGGATATACCACCAAACTTAATCTTTAGCATTGTGAGTGAGTGTGTGGTTTGGTTGGTTTGGTTTTGGGGGTGGTAGTTTTATATTAATGAGGGTGAAAGAGGACAGCCCAAAAAAAGGTCTGAAGCTGAACATCAAAAAAACTAAGATCATGGTCACTGGTCCCATCACCTCCTGGCAAATAGAAGGGGAAGATATGGAGGCAGTGACAGATTTTACTTTCTTAAGCTCCATGATCACTGCAGATGGTGACAGCAGCCATGAAATTAAAAGACGCCTGCTTCTTGGGAGGAAAGCAATGACAAACGTAGACAGCATCTTAAAAAGCAGAGACATCGCCTTGCCAACAAAGGTCCGCATCGTCAAAGCTATGGTTTTTCCTGTAGCAATGTATGGAAGTGAGAGCTGGACCTTAAAGAAGGCTGACTGCCGAAGAATTGATGCCTTTGAATTGTGGAGCTGGAGGAGACGCTTGAGAGTCCCCTGGACTGCAAGGAGAACAAACCTATCCATTTTGAAGGAAATCAACCCTGAGTGCTCACTGGAAGGACAGATCCTGAAGCTGAGGCTCCAATACCTTAGCCAAAAGAGAAATCTCCCTGGAAAAGACCCTGAGGTTAGGAAAGTGTGAAGGCAGGAGGAGAAGGGGACGACAGAGGACAAGATGGTTGGACAGTGTCACCGAAGCGACCAACATGAACTTGACCCAACTCCGGGAGGCGGCGGAAGACAGGATGGCATTCTGTGCTCTGGTCCGTGGGGTCACAAAGAGTCGGACACGACTAAACGACTAAATAACAACAAAGTTTTATGTTTTGGTCTGGTCGTAGAGAGACAGTGCTCCCTTGTATGGCATGCTGGGTCCTCTCATTAGCAAGGTTAATCAACAGTAGAGATAGGGAGCTGGGCCAGAAATAGGAACATAGAGCAGCAGAATGGAGCATTCACAAGGGACCAGGAGATACAGGAGTGGGGTGCACTTGCTGGCATAGCTTACAGTCATTAAATGCAGGCCTTTTGCCCATTTTCAGTTAGATAAAACTCTGACTCAAAGAATGGAGGCTTTGCCACATGCAGGTCAAAGTCTATTTTAGTAGCTCTTCAGCTAGTGGTTTATTAAGGCTGAAATGAAATTAAGAATTAACTACTTTGCTGTGTTTCAAAGCATGTTTGCCGGTGAGGAAGAAACATACCCAGTTTGATAAAATGAAATTAAGAATTAACTACTTTGCTGTGCTTCAAAGCATGTTTGCTGGTGTGTTATTGAGGAAGAAACATACCCAGTTTGATAACTGGTGCGTGGACCACCTTGAATATACTTAAGGCATTCATAAGCAAAGGTTGGGCCTGCCCATCCCCCATAGGGCTTTCAGCCAATCTGGCCACTCTTCCAAGTTCCGGGCAGTCTCTATGCTAGGGCTCCAAAAAGTAGCTTATGAAATTATTCTACATGGAATCCTGTGGACTTGGCAATGGCTGGTTTTGGTAATTGCTGGATAGCTCAGAGGTGTAGGCATCTGGGTGTGGAGTCAGAGGTTGGAAGTTTGATTCCCTGCTGTGCCTCCTGGACTGGATGATCCATAGGGTCCCTTCCAGCTCTGGAGTTCTAAGATGATCTACAGCTAGACTGTTACCGACCTGTTTCTCTAGAGTGAGGAAACAGGTACCTGCCATTCTTTTCCATTGTGCAAGTTTGTACTGCCACTATGAGGTAATAAGGAGAAAAGCCGTAATGTTTCACCACAATAGTTTACCTTGAGTCATTGCAGAGCTATAATTTTTTTAAGAAGGTGGGAAAAGTTGTGCTGAAAATTTAAAGCTAGTCAGGTGCTCTGTGATGGGCTGAAAAGGACAGGGGTATTTAGAATAAATACACACTACTTGATTATGCTCCAGTTGCAAATGTGAATGCATGCATAACAAGAGATGTGTAGTCTCTACACTTGAGCAAGTATACCGGAAACTGGTTCTTGCTCAACTGCCCAGCATGGAGTTGAGCAGGAATCTCTCTTTTCTTTCGATTGATTGTTGACTGCTTGAAAAAAGTGACAAAAGAGGGGGCAGGATGAGCTGCAGATGTTAAGATGTTTGGGGGAAAAAATCTGTGTCACTGGAAGTATTGCATTAGGTGAGATCCAAAACCCAAACACCAGGTCAGTGTGATGTTATGTGTTGTATAATATATAATGACACTGTTGTTGTTGTTTAGTCGTTATTTGTCATAATGAACTAGCACTATGCCAGACTGCAAGAAATAAAAAATATTAAAAATAATACCACAGAGGCAGCAGCAAGTGGCTGTAGGAGGTAGCCAGTGAGAGGGCAGATGGGTGCAGGATAAAGCCTCAATGAAACTACAATGGTGCCTTGACTTACGAACTTAGTTGGTTCTGGAACGCCAGTCGTAACTTGAAATGGCCGTAAGTCGAAGCACCATTTCCCATAGGAATGCATTGAAAAATGCAGTTAATCCATTCCGGCCAAAGGAAAAAACCACCAAAAAATCACACACAAAAAAAAACACTGCGAGACCCATCGGAAATGCGATTAATTCATTCTGGTTGAAGGAAAAAAAGAAAAGCAAACCGTGCAAGACCCTTCAGAAATGCAAAAAAAGCAGACCCTTCAAAAAGGAAAAAAAAAAAAAAAAAAAGCAAAGCAAAAAGCAAACAGGCTCTGCAAGACCCTTCGGAAATGAAAAAAAAAAGCAAAGCAAAAAGTAGACACTGCAAGACCCTTTGGAAATGCAAAAAAAGCAGACCAAAAAGCAAACAAACCCTGCAAGACCCATCAGAAATGGGGGGGGGGACCCAAAAAGCAAACAAACCTTGCAAGACCTATCAGAAATGCAAACAAACAAAAACTGCAAGACCCATCACAGCATACAAACATAACCCTCCCAGCCCAAAACCACACTGCAAAATCCACCCAGAACAGTTTTTAAAAAGCAGAAAGCAGCACCTTACCTTACCAGGCAGTCGGAAGCCTCCTCCAATCACACCCTCTCTAACTGCTGGGGCAAAAGAACTACAAAGAAGCAGCCTCTTCGCCATCAACAGTTAGCAATTTGAATTCCCTGAATTTTCCCCCTGCCTTTTTTATTGTAACTCGAAGCTCTGATCACAAGTTGAAGCAAAATTTTGCAGCCAGAGCTGGTCGTAACTCGAAATGGTTGTAAGTCAGGACGTTCATAAGTTGAGGCACCACTGTATTCTAAAAGCCTGTGTAGCCCCCTTCACCAATATACTGTACTGTTTAAAAATGAATTAAATTTTTTTTCTGAGAGTATGCACACATTCATCCAAAAACCATGTGACTACATGACTTTATCCTTCAGAAACTCCGATCCTTCTTGTCATTCATTTTCATAATGTAACTGCCCTTAGATATTGCTTCAGATATTCTGCCTCAATTTCTAGGTATATTCAGCTCAGGAGAAAGATGAGGGTCCTTGACACTTTATACTCTAGTTAGGTACAGCTGTTTAGGCATTAAACATGCATTTTGTAAATGCTCATTAACATTTAACTTTATGTAAAGCTTAACTATACAAATAACTTTCTCTGTGTATAGATCAACAATTTGTGAACACATGCATTAGATATGGAAGTGGGAACACCTCCAGATGCAGTGTACTGCTCAAAGCCCTATCATGTGGCTTTCAGACTGGATTTTAATGGCCATTTCCCATCCTTCTATAGACAGGTGAAAGATGAAAATATGTGTTCCATCATGTCTCACCTTCATGTTGCTACCTTTACATCTCACAATGTTTGGCCTTCATGTCACAGCTTTTAACACATTTCTAGAGGTGTAGCAATATTAGTTATTTGCGGCAAAAACAAGAAGAGCCTTGTGCCTTCTTAAAGACTTAACACATTTGTTGTGGCACAAGGCATGGCACAATTAAATGGCATCCATTTCATGAATGGACGTCAGTTCATTTTTGCTTCTGATCAGTGACCTTTGTGGCCTACTGTCACGCAGAAAGGTTGCATGTAAATATTTTAAATAAGCAAACAAGAGGAAAGGCTATTTTGCTTATGTTTGAACAAATCCAGAGACATATAATAAGACCAAGACCAAGATCATCCACACTCTTGTGTTCCTGATTACACAATATGGTTGTGAAAGCTGGACAGTGAAGATAGCTGACAGGGGGAAAAATGATTTGCTTGAAAAATGGTGCTGAAGAAGAGCTTTGCAGATACTCTGGACTTCCAGAAAGACAAACAAGTGGGGTTCAAGATCAAAGTTCAAGTCTGAACTTCCTCTGGAAGCAAAATTTATAAAACAGAGGCTGGGAACATTATGAAAAGGCAAGATTCACTCAAAAAGACAATAATGTTAGGAAAAGTTGAAGACAGCAGGAAAAAAAGGAAGAAGGATGGAATTCCGAAAGGAAGTGTTTATAAGAATTTTTCAGAAATTTTTCAGGGCTGTTGAGGAGAGAACATTTTGGAGGTCACTCACTCATAAGGTCACCTATAAGTCAGAGGTGACTTGATGGCATATAGCAAGAACAACACAACAGTTTTTATTGTGGTTTGGAGAAAATATTTTGTCACTTTTAGCAATTAGCCTCCTGTGTCGAAGTGCACTTAACAATGTTGAGAATCCTCACTAAAAAAAATAGTGAAGAAACCTTGCCTCAGCCACAGTGGAATAAGAGTCAGAAGGTTAGAAAAAGAGAAAACATTAAATTTTAACCACTCTTTCAACAGAGGCATTAGAAAATCAACAATGTAGGTCTTCAACCTTCACTCTCTTGCTTGATTTCCTTGCAAATGGCTGCTATGAGGCTTTTCCTTTTAATTGGTATAGTATTCCTCTTCAGTGACAAGACCTATGCCTCTGCTCTCCAAAGGTAAGTATTTATTTTTCTAGTGAAAGAGACAGGAAATATTTGACCAATGTAAATGCATGCTCCCAAAAGGTTGAGTGTGAGAAAGTCAACTGTACAGTACTTATTTCTGTTTGAGCAACAAACTGAGTACAATATAGGTGCTTTTGGGAAAATTTAATCTTTAAATGCCACCTGTAAAGATAAGTGTTCTCCATGGTTAAATTACACATGAATTTGGTTCAAAGCCAGTAAAGTACAGTAACATATTAAGGCAAACTGTTAAATCCTATAAATGTCTATTCAGAAGTAGGCCTCACCGAATTCAGTGGATCTAATACATGAGTGAAAGGATGTAGGGTTTGCAATTTTTAAAATGAAAAAAAAAACATTTTTTTCTTTCAATGTCATTCTTAAAAAATAACTTTCCACATTAAAGCAGAACCTTGGATTTACATGTTATTATCTTATTTTGTAATAATGTGAAATGTTTTTTTTTAAAGATGTAAATATGAGTAGATTAACTTTCTGAATCCTCAGTGACCGTAAACACAGGAGAAAAACATTAAAATATGGACCGGAGATTAAATAGTACTGATCTTCAGTGCTTTCTAAAATTCAACTTCAGAATAGCATTATTAGCTAAGAATAAATAAAAATGTTTAAATCCTATAAAATCCTCAGGAAAGACTCACAATATGGAGCACATTCCCATAATTACAGGTAAAGTTGATCAAAGAACAAGATCATATAGTATATGAATGGCAGCATAATACATTCATTTTAAATAAAATCACAGTATCATAGATTTACTGTGTATTCCATTTCATGTTCATTTTTACATTAAGATTGTTTAGTGGCCTTCTTATCAAGATGATGCCCATAAGAAGACTGAACTGCTTTTAGTGGGGCTAATTCTCTATTTAATAAATATGCTTATGATTGCAGCATTAGTCTTATGCCTTTGGCCTGTTCCTCCTGTGTAGGATTTCTGTTTGCAATGATTGCCCAAGAACAAGGTTGCCATGGTTACGGGCTGTGAGATAAAGAGAGGCACAGAACAGGACCCACAGAGATGTATGTTTGTTATTTCATGCCTGCAGTATCAAATGGTGCTTTCCTCTGTGAAGCAAACGGAACCTTCCCTCAGAAATAATAGGCGAAGCTGCCATTTGGCTTCTCTTGGCTTTTTCATGTCACTGAACACCTAGCATTGTCACGAGGAGAAATCTATTCCTCCAACATGGGCTTACGACCAGTGTTCTTCACTTTATGAATTCAGCTGCGAATCATAGATTTTGAGTAAAAATGCTGGCTTACACTTGCTAATACTATATATCTGAGCTGAAATTGCTGCCTGGTCCAAATCATCTCTAGAGACCTTACTTCATTGCTACAGTAACAAGTCAATTAATTTTTCTTAAGCCATTCAGTAGATAGGGCTGTGCTGCTCATGGTCAAAAACCAGTTTCACTTTCTACATAGAGTAGACCTATTTAATCAATTGTGGAATGGTTAGTACAGTAGGAGCCCCTGATCTGTGAGATCAGTATTGACGGATTTACTTATTCGCTGCTTGAAAATATTAAATTTTAAAAACAACAACTAGAAATACATACACTTTCCACATTGTATTTACCAGAACTGGCCAGTAGATAGAACCAGAGACCATGCTATGTACATCGTACCCTATTTCTGCAGTTTTTCAGCATCTGCAGGGGTCCTCCAGCATCCTTAGAATCAATTCCCCAATGATACCATGGTCCTACTGTAAATATTTATGGAACTGATAGAGCTACTCTAGTTGGGACTAGCAGTTGTATTTAGGTCAATATTTTAAGGATAGGGTTAAAAAAATTAGAAGAAACAACTGAAACGAGGCTGTGCTGAATGTTGAAACCCTAACTGAATCATGGCAATTACTGTGTTTCCATGGCAACCACAGGGCAGAACAAAGACTTCCTAGGATGGAGCAGCACCTCCTACAGATTCTTGTGAAATCCAGCATATTCTAGGGTTTAAAATGTGAAAAGTAAAAAAGGTGTAACATGATTAAAGACAAGAAAAAGGAAACTGGGAGTATTAATACTGAAGAAGAAACTGAGCTGATACCAATAAGGGAAGAAGGCTGGCAGCTTTACCTACCCACCAACCCAATGAAAGCTAAGGCCACTCCTGTATATTCCAGTCCCAGAAACACTGAGAAAGGTCTCCTAGTGAGGTCACCTGGCTGTCCATTCTCTGGCAGCCATACTCTGCAGTGTTAGCACAAGTGAGAAATCTGCTTTAATTTCTGTAGCCTACACAGAGCCTGGGCATTACATTCTCAAACTGTCTTTTCTTCCCTTTCTTCATTTTAACTTAATTATTGTAACTCACGATCACGACTGAATGAGGATATGTTCATACATATTTGTATAGGCTTTGAGCCATCCATAAACTGAGCAATGGTAAGATGACCAATACGTAGGTGTGGATGGCTTTAGTGTGTCATTATATCAATTCTTCTTAAAAACAGACTTTCTGAGACCGGGCTGGTGGTCATTTCTCTGTCCTGAATTGTCATCTCCAGTTGTTTCATTACTCTGTATTTTTGCACTATCAAACGTTTGCCTGTCTTCCCTCCCTTCTTCTGTTCCAGTGATCAGGTTTTGTGGGTTCTTCCACGATCAGACTCACAAGTTGAATTCCTCCGGAATTTGACCACTACTTTTGAGGTAACAGCTTCCAACAAGCTACTGCAATTAAGGCAACTTTCTCCAATCATAGACAAGCCAACACAGTAGTAAATGCAGACACACATGCCTTATTAAAGTACTGACAAATTGCTGTGAAGCTAGAGAAAAAATGGGAGGCTATCTTTAGCAAACTTTTTTTACTCTGCAGGAGAACATTTACACTCTTTTCACGGAGCACAGTACTACTTAGTGGAGATGGCAGGCCTCTAGTTCCTCTCTGTGACTACTTGTTTTAACTTTTAAAAAAAGATTTTCCACCTTGCTCCTGTTTTCCACACTGAATAAATGTATTATTATTATTTTCTGGAATGCACCTCTATTTATTTTATTTTATTTATTTATTCTATTTATACCCCGCCTATCTGATCAAACGACCACTCTAGGCGGCTTCCTCTCTGCCATCACTGCCCCTTTAACTGACCTGACTAAGATGCTAATTGTCCTTGGGGTAGCATTTAAATCAGTGGTCCCCAACCTTGGGCCTCCAGATGTTCTTGGACTACAACTCCCAGAAGCCGTCACCACCACCCCTACTGGCCAGGATTTCTGGGAGATGAAGTCCAAGAACATCTGGAGGGCCAAGGTTGGAGACCACTGGTCTAGATGACATTGGAGAAAAATAGCAACCTTGCGTGCTTACCAATACTGGCTTTCAGTGGGGGAGATTTTTAATACTCCGAGGGACTTTATTGGGCTGACTGCGCACCTTTCTCACTAACCTATTAGCAAAGTCTATTTGCCCTGGCTTGAGGAAAGCCATGCCTCTCTTCTGCACCTGTCTCTGCTTCTGTTCTTTGTTTGTTTACTCTCCGCTCTTCCTTCCTGAACTCTGTGAAGAGCAGAGATGAAGCCACACTGCTCCTGATCTTTCTGTTTTGTTTTGTTTTTTCATTTTGTGGATGCAGCCATGGTGGATTAAGCCTCCCACATGGTTGGGTGCAATTCTTTCTTTTATTCTCTTTGTTGTTCTGATTGCAATTGAGGATCAACTGTAAGTAAAGATACTTTCTTTTTCCACCTTAAGCTAGTTGTATGAGTAATTTCATATATACATGAGAGATGAATGAAGTTGGATTTTTAGCTGTTCTTCCTTCCTGTTTTTCCCTGTGCTCTAGGCTGGATTTTTTTTTACTTCATACTCTGCTGATGAAAGGAATTTACTAAATCCCAAGATTCCACAACAAATGACACATTAAACCCAAACTGCATGTTGTATGTTGTTTTCTACAGAAAGATCATGGACCTTAAACCCCCACCCAACAAGCCTGGCAGTGTGTCTTACAAGTAATGTGATCCTCTTTGGTAAAATGAGAGTAGATAAGAATGTCCATTCGCCTTGCATTTTTATTTTAATGCTACCATGTTTTGGATAGTTGGATGGAAGTGATATAAGAAGTAACATTTACTTCTTAGTTCTCCAACATTCAAGAGGGGTTTGTGCGTCAGGAGGCAGTAGCAAAGGTTTAATACAGAACAATGAAATAATACATTTATTTAAAACACTGTTTTTAAGCTTATAAAGTAATGAATAGTGTCAATGCATTATACAGTCAAAACAATAAAGACTAAAGCAAATATGTCAGATTTCAAAAATAATATTGCAAGCTCTGCCCCTTCAGCTAATAGATGAGTGCGTGTTTAATTCATGTATTTATTTAGTTACCAAGCTTGCCCCTCTTGACCATACGTTTTAGCATTGTCTGCACAGTGCTGCAAACTACAATATTCACTGTTGCCTTGATTTTTTTTTAAAAAGCACCATCAGTGTCCTCTTTGATTGCAAAACTACTCAAGTTGTAGTAGAAGGGAAGGAGAAGGTTATGTCAACAGAAACCAATCATTCAGCATTAACTCAGCCGATGACTTTTTCTGCAGCTTGACAAGAACTTCCCTCTAGCTGAGCTGCAAGGAAAATGTCAGATCAACCTGCAGCTCAGTTTGTGGGTTTGAGTATAGCTTGGAAAAAGCTCCAGAAATTTAGTGGTTGCAGGAGTGGTAGCTATCGAGCCCAGGTTCAGGAGGACTGTGAATCCAGTTTTGGATTTTAATCAGCACTTACAAGAATTCTCCAAGGTGCTGAATCTGTTTTGGGTACAGAGTTCAGCTTCTTGATTGACTTGTGTAAAACTCAAACTAAACCCAAGAGTAGATTTCCAGCTGCCCTGAAACTGAAGTCACACCGACTGCTGCTCTTTTTCAGGTAGCTGTTTGTTCCATTTCCATTGGTATTCATTTACTTTCTTTTATTGATATACGTTTAATTGCATTTTCAAACTATGTTTCAATTTCTTAAAACGTTATTATTGTTAGCCCCATGGGAGAGAGGCAATAAATAAATACATGTATGTGTGTTCAGATACCTATTAACCACCTTTGGTTTCAATTTTTTTTCAATTATTTTTTGGAAACGTAAAAGATTGTGCTTTGGCAACCTGACTCACCCAGGAACATCAAGAAAAACAAAGAGGTACATTTCTATGTCAATGTATCTGATGTCAATGATGTCAAAGCAACACTTGACCGGTCTGCCATTGTGTACAGGTATAGTTCTTAATTTCCTGCAGTGTATATTTAAAATTAAAGACATTTAAATATTTTTAATGGTTTCTTGAATGTTATGCCTTTCTTTCTTTCTTCATTTCTAGAGTTTTACTGGAAGATGTCCACAGGATTATTGAGACACAAACTGTAAATGACACCGTCACCCCTCGTAGCTCCAGATCATTTTACGAACAGTATCATTCTCTAAAAGTTGTAAGATATTTCTATTATTTGTTTTAATAATCTGTCCTATCTACACTTGAGAGTTGTAGCAGGTTCATAAAACAATGCTATATAGTTCTATTCAAAGATAAATCCGACCAAATTCAGTGGGGGCTTACTCCCAGGGAACTGTGTCAAGGATGGCAGCTCCAAACCTGCAGGAAAAAAAATCAAAACATGGTGCCACTTTCATCTGAGTAAACATACTTCTGATCTAACTGTTAGTAATATCTCTTGTGAACTCTCTGTATTGCTTTCTCCACACTTCCCTTTCGTTAATACATTTATTCTGAATTTTCTGATATATGATTCAATGCTCATTCCACTGTACGGTATGTAAAGCAACACAGACCAGTATATGTAAGATAAGGTTAAAGGCAAGTGCATCCGGGGCCGCCAGTTCATCTTACGGAAGCTTCCCAGTCTCTTGCCTGATCCCTCTTACCACAAGAGGGAGACAAAGTAGAGATGGATCTCCTCAGCTGGTAGCTGACTTTGCTCTCCACTGAGAGACCTTGTGTTCTAACATACTGCAACAACCTTAGTATTGCAGAGCCATTTACTCTGGGAAAGCTTGCCTGAAGAGAAAGGTCTTTGCCTGCTTTCAGAAGGACATCAAAGATGAGGCCAATCCAATCTAGCCTTCCATGGGAGGGAGTTCCAGACTCTGGGAACAGCAATAGAGAAGGTCTTCTCTTGAGTCCCCACCAAACACGCCTGTGAAGGTAGTGGGACTGAGGGGCTCCTGATTACCCCTGAGCAGGCTCATAAAGGGGACACGGTCCTTGAGATAGCTTGGACTCAAGCCGTGTAGGGCTTTATAGGTTAGAACCAGTACTTTGAATTGTGCCTGGAAATGGACTGGCAGACAGTGGAGCTGCTGTTACAGGAGGGTGGTGTAATCCCTGTGACCTGCCTCAGTTCGCCATCTGGCTGTCACATTCAAGAGGCAGCCCTATGTGGCGTGTGTTACAGTAATCCTGCCAGGATGAAACTAAGTCATATATCATCATGGCCAGATCAGATCTCTCCAGGAACAGGCTCAGCTAGGACACTAGTTTTAATTGTGCAAAGGCACACCTGGCCACTGGGGAAACCTGGGCATCGAGAGTCAGGGAGGAATCCAGGAGCACCCCAAGCTGTGCACCTGGGTTTTCAGAGGGAACGTAACCCCATCCTGCACAGGCTGAATCCCTATTCTTTGATCTTTCATTCAACTCACTGTGAGGGTTCGACTTTTGGCTCCTCTTTTGATTCAAAGAAATCAGTAGATTTTTGTTGCTTCAAAACAGGTGAAAGATTTATTGGTGCAATTAACAATAAACAAGTCTCTGTAACATGACTATGAGTCTTTTCTCCTGCCAACGGGTCCAGAAGGGGTCTCCAATCTTCAAACAGGAACGGGTTGCCTTAACTATTGTTCATGGTCCCGGTAAATCAGCGGGTACCCAGTCTTTCACGGTCTACCCCATTGAACCTTCCAACAAGGTCACGGTCTCGTCATCCCGATTGCCATTCCACAGGGTTCGTGTCTCGGGGTCTCGATCCTCCGAGGGTCCTTCCTGTAATTCTTCCTCCTCATCTCTCTTATTCACCATTCTAGCCCCTCTCTCTCTCCATTCTCTCTCGTCTCTTTCTCTTCTCTTAACCTTTCTCCTCCACTCCCTAGCCTCGGCTTCTCCCCAATAGGAGGGTCTGGAGGGTATCTCCCTTCTTCTTCTGTAATCCACCTCCTTCTTAGGCACTCTTGGCCTCTCCCATAATCCCATCCAGGGATCCTCCATCCACACCCATTCCTCACTGCTTCTTGCCCACGGGCCCTGCCGGGAGAAATAATCTAGCTTAGAATGTTCCTTTCCTTTCCTATATTGAACCGTGAAGGTGTAAGGTTGAAAGGCCAGATACCACCGAGTGGGATTGGTGTCTTTCATTTGCACCAACCACTACAAAGGGGTGTAATCAGTTATTAATGTGGAAGGTGCCCCTTCAAGGCATGAGTGGCCCATCGTATCGCCAAAACTTCCTTCTCAATAACAGAACGTATTTTTGTTCTCTTGATGTCAACTTTTGGCTAAGATAGAGGACAGGATGTTCTACCCCATTGCGTATCTGAGCTAGAATGGCTCCTAGGCCCTTGTCTGAAGCATCCATGAAAAGCACAAAGGGGAAATTGAAATCTGGTGCAAACCTCACAGGTAAATCACATAATACCGATTTTAGCACTTGGAAGGCTTTTTCCTGGGCCTCTCCCCATTTGTACCAATCTCCCTGCTCTCTTCTTAGTCAGGTCAGTTAAAGGGGCAGTGATGACAGAGAATTGTGGTATGAACTGTCTGTAGTATCCCACTAGACTCAAAAACTGTTGTACTTCCCTTTTTGTCCTCAGGCAGTACCACTGAGTAATTTTAGTGACTTTTTCTTCTTGGGGTTGTATCTCCCCTCTTCCCACCAGAAAGCCCAAATAATCTACCATGGATCTGGCTATCCTACATTTGTAAGGGCTTGCAGTAAGTCCTGCCCTCCTCAGTTCCTCCAAGACCCTGCGTAAGTAAATCAGATGTTCCTCCCAAGTAGAACTATATATAATATCATCTATGTAGGTGACAGTGCAGTCTTGAACTGGGCATAAAACCTTATCCATCAGACGTTGAAAGGTGGCAGCTGCCCCATGTAATGCAAAAGGCATTTGGGTGAATTGGAAGAGGCCCCTCGGGGTGGAAAAGGCTGTTTTCTCTTTATCTTGGTCTCTTAAGGGGATCTGCCAATACCCTTTTCTATGATCAGTGATGATAGGTAAGCCTCGCCCCCTAGTTTGTCTAGAAGATCTCCCACTTTGGGCATGGGGTATGTATTGAATTTGGAGACCACTTTGACCTTACGATAGTCGATGCAGAACTGCACCACACCGACTGGTTTTGGCACCACTATGGGGTAGCTGCCCCTTGGCCTCTTGGCAGGTTCTATTACCCCAAGGTTTAGCATTTCAGTTCTTGTTCTATAACCAAAGTCAACTGCCATGGCCAATACCTCCCTGCCGACCTCACTATTACACCGGGTCTGGTTTCAATACTGTGCTCTACCAAATTGATGTGACCCGGTTTCTTAGAAAAAACATCAGGGAACTCTCTTTCAATCTGTCATACTTGAGCTTCCTGTGGTGGTTCTATCCTTTCATCAATAAGTATCTGCACATCCCTTTCTGTCTCTATCTCTTCTACTTCTGGCCCCAATTCTTCTTCATAATCTCAAAAGAAGGTTTCGCTATCTACCCAGCGCTTTAGCAAATTAACATGTGGTACTTATAGTTTCTTTTTCTTATCTAAGATGTATACTTCATAATCCACCTCACTAATCTTTCTCACAAACTCATAGGGTCCCTGCCATTTAGTGAATAGTTTGGCTGATTCTGTTGGTAGCAGCACTAAAACCTTTTTACCTGTTTCAAACTCTCAGGGTTTTACCTGTTTGTCATATCTATATTTCTGGTTCTCCTGGGTCTTGCCCAAGGCCTCCTTAGCCAGGTCCCAAGCAGTCTGTAAGCTCTCTCTTATCTCCATTATCTGTTGTAACAAGGGTTTGGATAGGTCTTCCCCCTCTTCCCATTTCTCTCTGACCAGGTCCAGCAGCCCCGTAGGATTTCTCCCATACATTAATTTGAAAGGAGAAAACCCAGTCGACAATTGTGGGGCCTCCCTCACTGCAAACATCAGTGGGACCAAGAACAGATGTCATTCTCTTGGCTTTTATTCTACCAATTTTCTCAACATTCTCTTTAGTGTTCTATTAAAACTTTCTACCAAGCCATTCGCTTGAGGGTGGTAAATGGATGTCTTCAATGGTTTTACTCTGAGCAACTCCCACATCTGCTTGAATGTTAGGATCATAAAGTTAGACTCCTGGTTGGTCAAGACTTCCTCAGGGAATCCCATTCTAGAGAATACCCCTAGCAGCTCTTTGGCCAGCACCTTCATCGCGGTGGTACGCAGGGGAATTGTTTCTGGGTATCTGGTCGCATAACCAGTTATCACCAGAATATACAAATGCCCTCCTGCCAACTTCACTAAAGATCCTACAATATCTAAAGCAATGCGATCAAAGGGTCGGTCCACAGGGGCATCGGCATTAACTCCCCCCACATTGAGGCTTTGGCTGTGTGATTTGGCACTCAGGACAAGATCGGCAATATTCCTCTACTTCCTTGGCCATGAGTGGCCAGAAAAACCTGTCGGACTCTCGCCAATGTCTTTTGTATAGCCAAATGACTTGCTAGTGGCACATCATGGGCCAGTCCTAGTATCAATCCTTTAAGTCTTTTGGGAAGTACCAGTTGGGTTTCCTCCCCAAGGTCTGTTTTGCTTCCACGGTACAGCACTCCATCCCTCATTTCAAAATTTACTTCTCCCTCTTGCATACAGTAGTTCCTTCTGGAACCGCCCTTAGCCAGATCTCTTCCAGTCTCATGTCATCTTGCTGCCAATTCCTCAGTTGATCCCTGGACATGTTAAGCATTTCTTCCTCTAACATACAAGTTTCCACTTCCCCATTGTGCACCTCAGCTGTTGTTTGGGTTAGTTCTTTCACTCCTGGCCAGTCTCTTCCTAATAGCATTTCTCTTCCCAACCCAGGTACCACCCCGACTTTCATCTCTCTCATCTGGTCTCCTATCTCAACTTGGGCTAATATCACTCCATAAGGGTTAACATCCCTGTGAACACATTTGATAGACATCTGTTCAGGTAGTCTCTCCCCCTGCAAATCTCTTATAAGGGTGTTGCTACACCCCATATCAATGAGCGCCCTTTTCCATATTCCATTCACTTTTGCTTTTACTATCCAGGCCGGATGATCGCCTGTACCAGCCTTGGCCATGAGGGCATATATGTTTGCCCATGTGCATTCTTTGGTTGGACAATACTTTTTAACATGCCCAAATTGTCCACAACCATAACATGCCACCATGCACTCCTCTGGTGTGGACCATGTTGCCGCTTGTTGTGCTTGGGCTGGCTCAGCCGTTGTCGTGGGTCTTGGTATCTGGCTACCTGTTAGATTAACAAATTCTATACAGTCTGGCCAGGTTTTCTTGTAATCTTGGCTGTTCGGCCCTTTCAGGTTTGCACTCCCTGCTGCTTCGGCCATCTTGTCCTTACCTTTGTGTTTTTCCACATGCATCATTCCTCGGTTTAACAATGGCTCTTCCGCTCCTAAATAGTCCTCCAACAAAGTTATAGCAACCCCTAGGTTGGCGGGTTTGTTCTTCATCACCCATTTTCTGGGACCTGCTCCTAACACAGATATAAGTTGTTCCATGATCACGATCTCTAATACGATCCACCATCTTTCCTTTGGGTTGCACCCTGTTGGTGTGGGGCCAAAACTCCAGAGCCTTAATGAGGCCCTGGCCTCAAGAAAACCTCTTAGAGTCTGGTTGAATATGAAGCTTGGCAAAAGCACTATGTTTAAAAGACAAGCCTTGAAACTTAAGGACACTAGTTACACAGAGCCTCCTATCAGACTGCTTCCATTCTTCCCACTTAACTTTAGCAAAGTAAGAGACTTAGAGACTTAGACGTGGGGAGAAAACAACATGAGACAGTTCTTAGTGATTATAGTATATTAGATATGGCTACACATATATACATGGCAATACACATTTGGCACAACATTCAGAGCAATGACATAGAAGTAAATGACCACCAGACTTATTGCTGAGTGGCAAAGGCCTGTTCTGTCTCTGTTACATTTATAGCCAGAACAACCAATCACATTTCACCCTTTACAGCTGGTCTTGCTTAACAATCATGTATTACATCATCTTGTTACACCTGTATGCTGTAAGTCATTACATTGGCTTTTACCTTACATTCCTGACTCTGCACTTCATTACAATATTAAAATTTAACTCCCTGTTCACCAAAAGAACAAAATCCTGACACACCCACCTCACGGCATTGACCCTCATCTTCTGTGCTAGGGTTCTGGGTGGATTCCTGGTCATAGTCATAGATCTCTAAACAGTCTCCAATACACTTCTTCATTCAAGCTCAGCATGTTTAAAATAGCTGTTTTGACCTTCGTATAATCTCCTGCGTCTGTCAGGTCTAGTGTGTCCACTATTTCTTGTGGTAGTCCCGTCAAGTATGGAGTGAGGATCAATGCCCAGTGTTTCTTTGGACATTGTGCCATTGTTGCTGATCTTTCAAATGTGTTTGAGGAATGCCGCCAAGTTGTAATGTGGTCCCATTTTTTGTATTTTTATGGTTGGCTGGCTTATTATCAGTGTTTTCTCTTGCAACGTCCTGATAACAGTGTGGCCAGGTGTGTTTGTGCTAATTGGGTAATCAGTAATTGCTGTTGATCTGCTAGTTGTTTTATGAGGGCTTCTTGTCCTTCTGTTACTTTGCGGAGCCAATCTTCTGTAGGGCCTCCCGATGTTGAAGGCACCAATATGTGAGGGTTCGGCTTTTGGCTCCTCTTTTGGTTCAAAGAAACCTTTCTCCTCCACTCCCTAGCCTTGGCTTCTCCCCAATAGGAGGGTCTGGAGGGTATCTCCCTTCTTCTTCTGTAATCTGCCTCCTCCTTAGGCACTCTTAGACTCTCCCATAATCCCGTCCAGGGATCCTCCATCCACACCCATTCCCAACCTGGTGGCAACTGACTCTCCTTCCTTTTTACCTCCCCTGTTCCTGCCTCAAACTCCACCCTCTTTTTTCTCTCCTTTCCCAACTTTTCTTCCTGAACCTCTCTCATTGTTACACCCTGCATTTCTTCAGTCAGCTCCACTATTTCTATCTCTTGCTGGGCTTCTGCCATAGGCTCTGGTGCCGGCTGGAGTCTTTCCTCCTTATCCTTGTGGGGGCGGGGAGGGCTTGCTGGGCTTCTGCCATAGGCTCTGGTCCTGGCTGGGGTCTTTCCTCCTTATCCTCACTTGGGGGGGAGGGACAGCTCTCCAGTGAGCGGGCCATCCCTCTCGCCTTCTGTCTCACACTCACTAGAAGTACCTCTGTCTTCTCTGGTCTGGATTAAATATCATTTTATTCACCCTCATACTGTCCATTACTGACACGAGACACTGATCTAGAGCTGAAAGCAACTTCCTCTAATTTAGGTGGCAAGGAGAGGTAGAGTTGGGTGTCATCCACATACTGGCGACACTGGACCCCCGCAAGGAGGGGTAGAGTTGGGTGTCATCCAGATACTGGTGACACTGGACTCCCGAACTGTGGACAGCCTCTCCCAGCAGTTTCATGTAGATGTTAACTGACATAGGAGACAAAAAAGAACCCTGAGGGGACCCTGCAGGCTAGCGACCAGGGTGTCAAACAGGAGTTCCCCCCACCCCCAGCACCACTTTCTCCAGCACCACTTTCTCCATTCTCCATTTAAAAAGTGCCTCTCAGTCCTATCCCAGAGATACAGGCCAAAACCATTACTGAACCATATGATGTATCTCAGAAACATTTAGGGTCACCATAGACTGGGAGTGACTTGATGGCGCACAACAACAAAATATCAGAATTAGCTGCTATAGCAAACTAGAGAGTATTTCCCCAATGTCTAACTTGCTGGTAATGACAATGCAAGCTGCTAATAATGCATGATGTAACCAATGACTTGGGCAATTGGACCAACCACTGGCTGAGAGATTATGAGCAATATAGTAAGTTCCTTTTAAGATATAAAACTCTTGACTATTGGTCTAGGCTAGTTAGCACCCAGGTACTCCAGATATACTGCTCTGGATTCCATGACATACAGGACCAAAAGTGGAGCATTAATGCTATAATTCAAACACTTAAAAGCATCGCAAGGTGAAGCTGTCCATGCTAACAAAATTGTCTTTATTATTCCAGATATATTCCTGGATTGATGATATGGCTGAAAAACATACTGATTTTATCCAAAAAATATTAATTGGAGCTTCCTATGAGAAACGGCCACTGTATGTTTTGAAGGTACAGTTTGTCAGTAACTCCCTACCTTATGCTCAATGCTTTCGCTCAACTCCCTACAGAATACCCCATCTACACAGGAGAAACAAAGGGTTGGAAGATGCTCCAGATTTCCGTACTGTCCTCACCTACAGTAATTTATCACAGCCAATGGCTGAGGGACAAGATGTTAAGAACCAAGGCAGCAGCTGTCTGTACCTTGTTATCCCCCCATCTTTCTGGGACCAAAAAGAGATATCCTGTCTCAACTCGTTGCCTGCCTACCTGACAACATATCGAGGTGGAAACACTGTACTTCTGCCCCAGCATTTCCCATCTTGAAGTGGAGGAAACTGTTGCCCTACTCATGCCCATAGTTATTTTCATGACTCATCGCTCATAGACTTTCTTGGAGATAAAATGCTTATTGCAACAGCAATCTTATTAACAACTGTTGGTCCCTTTCCCCTCATCACTGAGTTGGAGTTCAGAGAAAAGAGCCCTGGTGTCCTTCATTCAGTTGCTGGGAATGCAGATGTTCAGGTGGCATCTGACCTTAGGCCTTAGGAAACACTTCATAAAATAAACAGCAAGGTAGAATCCAGTAGATCTTGAGAAGAAACCCTGGAGCTGCTGAACCAGTACACACAGATAGCTGTGTAACTCCTGCCTGCAGTTCAACTGAGGTAACAGTTGAAATCTTGTAAAACTAGTGCTTGACAGGCAGTTGTTCATCTTGGTAGTTTCCCTACCCATGAACAATCCGAGAAGAATTTAAAAATGCAGGCAGTTGTATTGATTCATCTCACTCTGTTTCTGTATCTATTTATGTGTATGTATACATAAACACACACACACATGCTTGAACACACACACACACACACACTCATATGCTTGGAGCTGAGTTATGCTTTGTGCACCTGAAAGCTTTGCATTGTGACTTACTCCTGAGAAGTATGTAGGTAGAAGCCATGGTTTGTATGTCTGAAACTCAGCTGTGTTCTGTATTGCTCGGTGGAAAAATGATCATAGGAGTAAGAATCACATTTGTGCTTATGCATTCCCACATGTGTGTTGTCAATCTCCCACCCACCACCATTACCACAGGCACACTTGCCGACTGGGCTATGAAACAAGGGCTATGAAATAAAAAAAAGGTAGTGCATTCCTGCTGTGTAATTTAAGCTTTCCTGTTACACCCTTCTCTTAGCTTTCAAATGGCGACAGAACACCAAAAAATGCAGTTTGGATTGACTGTGGCATTCATGCCAGGGAATGGATTGCTCCTGCCTTTTGTCTTTGGTTCACAGCATATGTAAGTAGACGTACTGTCCTGTTTACAACTACAGTAATACATCTATGTGTACATATTGGTACCCAGTGTGGTGTAGTGGTGATGTTGGATTGACTGTGGCATTCATGCCAGGGAATGGATTGCTCCTGCCTTTTGTCTCTGGTTCACAGCATATGTAAGTAGACGGACTGTCCTGTTTACGACTAATACATGTATGTGTACACATTGGTACCCAGTGTGGTGTAATGGTGATGGACTTGGATTCTGGAGAACAGAGTTTGAATCCCTGCTCAGCCATGGAAACTCACTGGGGGAGTGGAACTCGTAAAATCACTCCTTAGATATCTCATTTACCTTGAAAGCCCCAGGACTCCTAAAGACGTCACTGTCTAAAATAAAAGGAAGACAACTTAGACAAAGGCAGGAAGTGGGAAAGACGAGCACATGGAGTTCCACAAATGTAAAGTGTTGTTAAACCTGAGAATGAGGATTCGGAAGTAAAGCGAAAACTGAATTGGGGCCATACAGTTCATGTGGCCTGCCATGCGTTTTAACCACTGTCCTGGAAAAGTTGGGTTAGGGAATTTGAAGAGGAACAGAGGATACCGTGTCCATGGTCAAAAATAAATCTCCACAGATGGCTAGTGAGTGGGGAGGCAGCAAGGCAGAGTGTGGAATGGGATCCTAAGACTGTTCAAGATCCTTCCAGGCACAAGAGAATGGTAGAGTGGCCTGAAACAAATACCTAGAATTGTCCATGCTATGTACATTTCTTGAATGGTCCAATATGGCTCAGTTCAGTATTGCATGGGCTGAAACATATCCCCAAGCACATGGGTGATCAACAGTGCCAACTCTGAAACTCTGACATGAAGCTGACAAATTCCCTCAGGTTTGTCTTCACCTTCTCCCATGTACAGTACCTTTCACTTCTTACTCTCTTTCTCTTAGTTACGTTGCCAACTAGTAGCATAACTACAGTTTAATATGGCTCAGTTCAGTATTGCATGGGCTGAAACATATCCCCAAGCACATGGGTGATCAACAGTGCCAACTCTGAAACTCTGACATGAAGCTGACAAATTCCCTCAGGTTTGTCTTCACCTTCTCCCATGTACAGTACCTTTCACTTCTTACTCTCTTTCTCTTAGTTACGTTGCCAACTAGTAGCATAACTACAGTTTCCATCTCTCAGAAGTGTAGTTTGCTCTAAGTTCAGTTCATTGAAGTCAGTATTTTGTTGTAACTCTGACATGAAGCTGACAAATTCCCTCGGGTTTGTCTTCACCTTCTCCCATGTACCTTTTACTTCTTACTCTCTTTCTCTCTCTTAGTTATGTTGCCAACTAGTAGCATAGCTACATTTTCCATTTTTTATTTATTTATTTTATTTATATCCTGCCTATCTAGTCAATTAAGACCATCTCTCAGAAGTGTAGTTTGCTCTAAGTTCAGTTCATTGAAGTCAGTATTTTGTTGTTGATTCCAAAATGAGCTTCCATCGAGACTAAGAAATTAAAAAAAAATCAGAGAGTAGAGTGTGAAGGCAAGAGGAGAAGGGGACGACAGAGGACAAGATGGTTGGACAGTGTCATCAAAGCTACCAACATGAATTTGACCCAACTCCGGGAGGCAGTGGAAGACAGGAGGGCCTGGCGTGCTCTGGTCCATGGGACCATGAAGAGCTGGGCATGACCTAACAACTAAACAACAACAACAACAACAGAAACCCTAACTGGGGCACTGGACTTAACGACTAAACAACAACAACAGAGACCCTAACTGGGGCACTATAAAGAATGGAAAAAGGGAGGTGATAAGAGGCACACAAAGCAGGCTTCTGATTTGAGAGGTCATTGGCAACGTGCCCCTGGTTGTCCCCTCTTACTCTAATAAATCCATCTGTTGGTAGAAGCAGTGCTCTAAGAGGTGCCAGATGATTGTGTCTAGCCACTGCTTCAGTTTTCTGCTGTGCCCTTGCTGTGGTATGTCTCCAAGGGAGGGGCCAGACCCAGCTATTTCACACTGCTGAGAGCCTTGTGCCAGAAATTTGGTGACTGCTGTTGCTTTTTAAAGGTAGGTCAAGGCTAACTTTGGGCTCTGTCATGGGCTATGCCCTTTGCAATGGCTCAAGGATGTCAAGTATTCATATCGGCTACCCAAGTAGGAAAGTAAGAGAGGTTGTGTATTGCATTCTTCCCCAAATAATCTGACCAGTCCAGCAAAAAGAATATGCCACATGTTCTCTCTCTCTCTCTCTTTTGAGAGAGGTGGGTGGAACATGCACCATTCCAGTGGAAGAGTGAAAACTTTGTGAGGTTTTTTGGCCCTTTTACATCTTGTTCTTCCCTTTTATTCAGGCAACTCAGTCTCTCAACAGAAATCCTCGAGAATCAATAGATGTGTCAATGGCAGAACTTTTACAGCATCTTGATTTCTATATCATGCCAGTAATGAATGTAGATGGCTATGAATACACATGGACTAATGTAAGTGCCAAATTTTTGGAGGTTTTATGATGCTTTTTCCAGAGATTTGGGAATACTATTGTATAATTGCCAGCTACTCCCAGTTCTTGGTTCTAGAAGAAGCCCTGTGAAGACTATGGTTTCAGTCTAATATGGCTGAAAGCAGTGATCCAATATATTCAGTCTGTTCTCGAATGGAGCCTAGATCCTTAAGTGTTTCTAGAAAATCAAGGGCAAGCTAATTTCCTACAGATAACATTGTTCATTAAGCAGTTTGCCATTTTATGGACACAACTATTAATGTGCACAGTGAACTTTTTTTTTGCATTTCTTTCATTTCAGGTTATTTACAGCGTTTTAACCACTGCGCCACGAGAAGAAGCCCTGTGAAGCCTATGGTTTCAGTCTACTATGGCTGAAAGCAGTGATCCAGTATATTCAGTCTGTTCTCGAATAGAGCCTAGATCCTTAAGTGTTTCTAGAAAATCAAGGGCAAGCTAATTTCCTACAGATAACATTGTTCATTAAGCAGTTTGCCATTTTATGGACACAACTATTAATGTGCACAGTGAACTTTTTTTTTGCATTTCTTTCATTTCAGGTTATTTCAGAGAGTGCCTCCTTTTCATAGTTTTGGTGTGCCAGTCATTTCATTTTACACAGAAGGGCAGTCCTCTTTTAGTTTCTTTAATTTTGAGTTTTCCGTTTGTGATCTGGGCACTCCAAAAGCCTTAAGAGAACCCTTGAAAATGACTCCAAAGGAGCAGAAGCAAAGCAACAAGGGATCAATCTATTTCTAAAGCAAGCAGGAGTGCATAAGGAAGAAAAATCATCACATGCACACCCCACTCTACCTAATCTAAACCTTTAATAGAATAAATGTGCAGTGGCTGAAATCTAATTTGCGTAAATTGATGCCACGTAAGGCTGATGTCATCGGATATGGCAGTTTTTCAGAAATTTAAAATTTCTGATTTCACTGTCCCTCCCCACAAAGATCTGAGGATTCCATAAGATCCCTTTCACTGTTGGGAACCTGTTGGGGGCCACAGGATGTGAGGGTCTTTAATTTCTAAAAAAAGAAAATCACTGCCACTGGTAGAATCATCCCTAGCAACGGTTGATAGGTTGACAGGGATGCAGCATGGTAACAAATACCAAAAAGAACATGTAGATACTCGCATACCCTGAGGAGTTTCTCTTGAGTCTAGTTGGGCTTAATCTCTCAGGCCAGGTGCTGTGCAGATGGCTTTCCTTCTGCCACAAAGGAGGTCACACTCCCTGGGCCACCAAGCTGTCTTTACAGCCTAGCTTCCCTGTGTTGAAAATGGCTGGAAGACATGGCAGAAACTAACCTGACATGGCAAGGCAGGGAGGAGGCAAGAGAAAAGCTATTAACACACTGCATGGCATAACCCCCTTCAATGATCAAATCAGTATTTTATTGCCTTGATAAGATAATCAACACTTAGAGCTAAAGGTTTGCAAGTTCACGATGCAACATGTAGTTTCTTCATATCCTCAGGACTCCTGTAAAGATAACATGCATGGAACAGTGTGCAGCTGTGTTTTATAAAGCAAATTCCAGTTGAGCACATCACCCTGACACCCCTCCAGCTGATACATCTGCTCCCCAAGACTTTCTGTACTGAGAACCATGGTTCTCTACCTCTCACTATGTAGCACTGGAGAGACATAGAACTAGTGCAGGTGGGACATGAAGTTTTCCCAGTTGGGACTAAGAATATAGTCCCCCTCAATCCCAACGGCCTTCTCCAAGTGTGATATGCCACTTCCTACTGACTTTACCTGCCAAGGAAGATCTGTGTCCTTTTCCCAGGCTAGAACCAACTGAGGCTCTTCAGGGCCAAAGTCATTTGCAAGCTTCAACTAGCATAAACTCACGGAATCAATGAGACATGGTAGGTCGCCACTGATGTAAATCTCATTGATTCAATGAAGTACTCCATCAGAAAAGTAGCTATTGGATTTTGGCCTTTGTGTTACTCCTAATCTCCTGTTCTCCCTGTCCCCACACCCTGTATTCTGAACAATAAAATAGAGTAACAGAATGTCTGTAAACATAGTAGGGTCATTTTTAGAAAAGTGCTTTTTTGTTTGTTTGTTTGTTTCTGTCACACAGGGACTTGGGTTCATTGACAGATGAAATGTTAGGTTGAGAACCCTTGCTTTGTTTGTCACCACAAAGTGAACATCAGTCACTTAGGGGCCCCCTTCTTCTTAATGCTCCCGCTCCTTCTCTCCTCATCAAGAGACAATGGCTTATTCCTTTTCTTATCTCTGTTTTCCTCATCCAACGGTCTCTTTGGAGTGTGTGGCAGAACACAGAGAGTGAGTGACACAGAGCTCTTTCTAAGAAGTGTATTCAGACTGGAGATGAGATTGTAACCTGGTTACCAAGTCCAAAGATCACTCCCAACGGCTTCCTGAGAGAGGAAGGCCCCAGAAGGAAGGGCAGGTGGCTCAAACATTCTGCTTCTGTACCTCACAGCTATAAGGAAACTGGTGTTGATTTCCTTGTAGAATGAAATTCAAGGTGGCCAAGGGAAAAAAGGGAAGGGCAATCTCAGAGTATACAAAGAACTTGACTTGGATTGATACAGAATTAGTCCAGCATGTTTTCCACACCATTTACAGTGGGGTTCTAGATTATGAAGCAGGTTTCATGTTCTCATTAGATCATCGAATGGTCCTTGGCCTTCTACCTACCATGGTTAGGCCAACAGTCACACAGCTGTTCTGTGCTTTGGTGCCCCACTCCCTCTGGCAGGCACCACTGAGAGCCAGTATCTGGAGGAGGCCGGGCAGGGGAGCCAGGGTGCTGCCTTCAAGTGGGTGCCCACCACAGGGGGCGGGACACCAAACCGTGGAACAGCTGTGAGGCCATCAGCCAAACTGGCACCAATCACCAAACTGGTGGTTCACGCTCATCTTTAGTCTCCAGTGCTAACATTGTTTCATCTTTAATAATAAGTTACCTGTAATATTTTTGTTTCTGGTCCCAGAAATATTCCCATGACAGACCTATGTAAAACCAGTCCTACAACTGTGAAGCACTTAATCTGGAAAGGGAACATCAGAGCAAATCAGTTTATTCATCATTTCAGTCAGTTAGGAATCCAGGTTCAGAACCAAAGATTGGGAGTTCAATTCCCCACTGTACCTTTTGTGAGAGGAAACAGCCTATGTGGCCTTGGACAAGCTTTATAGTCTATAGCCACAGAGAGTCCTCCTCTACTGGGGAAGGAACTGGGAAACCACTTCTAAGCAGCGTGTGACAAACTCTGGAAATGATCACTAAGTCAGAATTGACTTGATGATGTGATTACTGTAAAACCCCACAGAAATGGCAAAGAAAAAAAAAGTAAAAAGCGGTGTTCAGTTGTTGCTTTTCTTCTTAGAGTGTTCAACTTTTAATATTTTCTCTTTATTTTCTTAGGGTTTTTTTCACAGCCTTAATTTATACAGTAAAATGTGGTTGTTCCCTTTCATGCAGTGAAATCTCATGGATTTTTTTCATACTGTTCAGTGAGTTTGCTTTGACCCAACCTAGGCAGTCATTACAGATCTATGATTTTGTGATCAGAGATGGCCTTTCATCCCAGATTAAATGCTGGTGATAACCTTAAACTACTTAAAAATGATGGATATTGTATCTACAGAAACGAATGTGGAGAAAAAGCCGTTCAGAGCATGGCAACAACATATGTGTTGGCACAGACCTGAACAGAAACTTTGATGCAGGCTGGTGTGGTAAGAGGAAATTATATATATGTATGCTTTTTTCTTTAAAGTACACCTGTATGCATTTTGTATATGCCATAGCTTTTAAGGCTGCAAACCTATGGCCATTTATCTGGGAGTAAAACTCAGGGAACTCTGTGCAGTTTACTTCTGTGTAAACATGCACAGGATTGCTCTGTTAAAAAATTCAGTATACAGAATATGTGCAGACTGTGTTGATTAAACTTCAAATATTGTAGTTCCAAGCATTTCACAGGTAATAGTGTATATTGATTCATGGCACAAAAGGGTTTTTTTTAAGCATGCGAAGATCGAAATAGCAAAATGAAAATGAACTTTGTCAGTGTGCACCTTTAATCAGTGAAATAGTGAGTAATCTAGAATCTCAAAGATATGGAGTCAAACTCAGATGTCCTAATAGTTTTCATTTGAAAACATGCCACAACTTGGAAAAAATGGCTCTTCTTTTTCTTTGGACCCCAAGTCCTTGAATGCCAAGCCAGTAGCTATGCTGACTTGGGGATCCCATGAGCTATAAAGTTCTCCAAGCTCCAGTCCTCCTCCATTTGCTGACCCAACAAAGGATACAAAGAGGGCCATTCTGAATGCAAAGCACCCCATAAACTCAGTTTTCTCCACAATATTAACAAGGGAGCTTTCTCACTAAACCATTTTGTCTCCAAATTTTGATGGGGAGCATGTGTAGGGATATGCACTTGTGACCTATAGATCTCTGGTGTTAGACGCCACTGCTGTAGGTGCACGCATGTGAGTATTTGTGGGTATAATTTACTTCAGCTGATCCCCTCCCTTTCAAACCTACTTTTGTAATTGCTTTTTTCTATACTAACCAGCTTGAAAACAGTAAATAAGATGCTGTTGCAATTGTCATCAAAATTATTCAACTCCCATTGCAAATCAAGTTTATTGTCAAAATTTAGACTTTCAGCGCTGTTTGCAATGAACAAATAAAACGAAAGCAATTGAAATAGCTCAACACAATGAAAGCTTCAGGTAGGTTCCCCAAATTTAACTGAAAATGCAACTTTTAATGAATTCGGCAGGCTTCCTGAGGAATCTTAGCCCATTCCTCATGACCAATGACCTCCAGTTAGGAATATTCTTGGGTTTGTGTGCTGCAACCGTCTTCTTCAAATCCCACCAGAGATTTTCTGTGGGGTTCAAATCAGGTGACTATGATGGCCACTGTGGAATCTTCTAGGACTATTTCTGCAACCTTGGTGGAATGTGAGGAATGTTTGGGATCACTGTCCTGTTTGAAGATCCAATGACACCCAAGCTTCAGCTGTCTCACAGGTGGCATGACGTTTTCTCCTAGAATTTCTTGATATTTCAATGACTCCATCTTGCCGTCCACATGCTGTAGGTTTCCAGTTCAAGAGGATAAAAAGCAACCGCAGAGCATCAACCATGCTTAACTGTAGGCACAGTGTTCTTTTCAGTGTATACTTCCTTCTCATTCCTCCAGATATACCATTGATCCATTAGGCCACAGAACAAAATCCCAAAACTTTTATGGTCTCTTTATATGATTTTGAACATAATTGGAGCCAACATTTCTTGTGCTTATGGGTCAGTAGTGGTCAGCTGAAAGTTTGTAAATTTTGACAATAAACCTGATTTGCAATGGGAGTTGAATAATTTTGATGACAACTTTATATATCCTTGGATCCAGTCCTCAATTAGATTACACTCCCCTGCAAGACTACTGAAAAAAATCCCCATTTCTGAGCCAGACCAATACTTTAAAAGACAAAGAATCACAGTATTTCTTTCTGCATCTTAATCTTCCGGGGGGGGGGGATCCCACATAGGATTTAATAGAAGATGATTGCATTTCTCATTTCTATACAAGTGTGACAATAATGCACCTTCTGGAAATGTATGTATGTTTAGTTCAAATTTAAATTCTAACAGGAATACAGAATGAAAAGTGTTCCTTAGCTTAGTAGTGCATTCAATAGTTTTAAAGGGGATTTTTCTTCTTCAATAAACCACTTTAATGTTGTGTCTTAAATAAAGGTACAGGTGCATCTGACGATGACTGTGAAGAGATATACTGTGGACCTTACCCTGAGTCTGAACCGGAAGTAAGAGCTGTGGCTAATTTTATCAGAAAGCACAAGGATCAGATTAAGGCATACATAACAATGCACTCTTACTCCCAGATGGTTTTGTTCCCATATTCTTATACTACAAATAAAAGTAAAGATCATGATGAACTGGTAAGAATCTTATCTATGTTTTTATCCAACCGTAGAGGCCTACCATGTTCCAGCTTTGGGACAGTTAGTGATGGATTTTTTTCTCCTGGGATGTACAGAGAAGATAAAAATCTTAAGTAATGTATTAGAAGTGTCTGCTTATAGGCTCAGTTCAGACTTAATGATCAACCATAGTTTGATACTGTAAAAATGAGCAGCGAGGAGAACCTTGGACTTAACATATATACTCCCACTTCTACTTCTGGTTTGCTGTCCCAATAACAAGCTACAGCTTATCATCACATTTCTGAATAGCCCTGCCTTATTTTCTAAGGGATATAAAATATTCTGAGCACTATGTTGTTATATTTAAGTTTATTTATTTATTTATTTGATTTATATCCTGCCCATCTGGTCTATACGACCACTCTAGGCAGCTGAAGTTCAGAAGCACATTCTAGCTTTCAATAGTGCATAAAATGTTTAAAGTAATCATTTAAACCAGAAAATAATAATAATTACTAGTGATATTGCAAGGTATGGACTCAGTTTTACAGTTATGCTTTGTGTCCCTTCTGCAAAAAGTAAAAGTAATTTGCATCCATGCTTTAGGTTGTTTGTTCCTCAAAACCAAAACACTGAGCCAGAATATTTTAACCAGTGATGACTGGCTAAAAATTATGTGCATAGTAACTCTTGCAAGAATACAGGTTTTGACAAAATTAAAGCTATATATAATCATTGGACGAGGTCAGACGTTAATAAAATGCTAGCATGTTTATGGGATTGCTGCCGACTTCCTCTTGAGCCAGGCTTGGCATTCTGTTCAACGCATTTTCATCGAATACTTTATATTTTCAAAATGTTCAAAATAAAAACACATTTATTTAATATACAGTATAGTTTTTAGAACAGTGTGAACATTGTGCGATCTAGGTTCCCACAGGACTGATGAACACCTCCTCTGGTGCCCACCTAGTCCTTCTTAGATTTGGTTAATTAAAAAAAATTAACTTAGTAAAAAATTAGAAGGTTGCCATGCAGCAAAACGAAACACTGGTGTTCAGTGCCATCTCCAAGAAAGGCCTGTGAACCCCAGAACCATTCTTTGGGAACATATATGATGAGGCAACTATAACCTAGTGCCTCATGTTTAAAATGTCCAAGGGACAAATGTTAGTAATGAGTGTCAGTGAAGCTGGGGGGGGGGCGCAGAAATGATGATAGAGGACTCTTTATGTTCTGCTGTCTTCTTGGATTTGTTCGCTGACTTGTTTTGCTGTGGAGTTTTGCTTGGAAGGTATTTCTCTAAGCACCACAGCTTTGCCTTTTGTGAAATGGGTTGTCTCCTTGGAAAATAGTATTCTGACAATGGGCCACATCCGTCACAGAAGCCATTTGGTGAACGGGCAAGCTTGCCCTCTAGCTCCTATTTTTGGAACATGACCACTGCACTTTCTCAAAAGACTAGCCACGCTCACCAGTCTCCATACTGGGGAATTCCTCTGCTCTGTGTGCAAGCTTGTGGTGTCTTAGCAGAAGCTGTTGTTGAAACAGAAACCCACATTTACCAGTGCTGAGTTTTCAAAGACCACTAATTAACTTTTTGTTTCAGCAATTTCTGGCTAACAAAGTAGCTAATACCATTAGACTTAAACATCAAAACCGCTATCTGGCAGGCTCCGGTGCACAAACCATATGTAAGTATATGTGTATTACAATACTAATGTTTTAAATATCTCTCTTTCTGAACAAACCCATAACTGAGAGAAGGTATCCGAGCTGGGCATGAATAATGAATGTTTCTGGTTTCCCCCTTAGATTTAGCTCCAGGAGGTTCAGATGATTGGGCATACGACCTTGGCATAAAATATTCTTTCACTTTTGAACTGCAAGACAAAGGACGATATGGATTCTTGCTTCCACAGCGTTTCATTAAACCAACTTGCTCTGAAGCACTCACTGGAATCAAAATAATTGTTTCACATGTTATAAAAAATATGTGAAGTACTTAATTTAGCATTGTACATTACAGCATCAGTCAACTTGCCTGACAGCCTAATGCCTCTAAAATTGCTATAAAATAATGAAATTATTTTAATTTCAATAAAAATAATGTTTTGTGAGCCTGATGTTCCACACTTAAGGAAAAACACTGAAGGTGCTAATCGGGGAAACAGCATATTGCCATTATGGAAATACATTAATAATACCTAGAGTACAGAGGTTGAAAGTAACACAGAACCACCTCATTTTCTGGATGGTTCATTTCTTGGTTCACACTGAGAGGCCATGTTAGAATGTCCCTTGGGCAGATGCAAGAACTGTCCCACAGACAACAATAGAGAAACTTGACGGTCTTAATGTGGCTGTTACTGAACATAAGCATGTTCTACCCACCATTTTAAAAAGGCCACAAATGGAGGGAGGGGGAGAAGCAGCCCAAAGAGAATCAGGCATATCCAGAGGGCCGAACCACTATTTGATAAGGGAGATGGCAAAATAGAGGGGTAGCAGCTAGAGAATCTGACTAGGAGGAGCTTCGAACTGCAACATTTTGTTTCGGAAAACATTAAGATTGTGATATCTTTAGTATATCAACTTCCCATTTCCTGTAGCAGCACAATAAACAATGCTGTTTTCATAGGTATTATTATTTCCAGGTTAATGTAATGTTGCATACTGTTGTAAGGGATGGTTCTTGCCTCTGCTCATATTCTTTGGATTACGTCTGACACTGGCTGAGGAAGGACACAACCCTTGTCTAGCAAGGAACTTTCAGCCAGAAAGGCAGAGGCAACTGGAGGATGAAGTCAGCACATTCATTGCTACTTTGTGCCCTGCTTAAATTAAAGCATAATTGACAACTACCTTCAAGTAAGCATGGTGATATTGCTGGGACATTTCCCCCCCCCAACAAATATGCTAACCAAAGCCTATTTCTAAGAATACAAGCTAGGATGCAATTATGGAGGGGGATCCAGGTTATCAGTGGATGCTTCTGAGTTCCCCTGCAGCCCTTCGCACCACAGAAAATAAGCAATTAGAAAAATGGCTATTCCATTCTCTTCCTTCTGTACCAATGGAAACTCACTTCATGCACGTTCCAATCCAATCACACAGTGTTCACACATCATGAAAATCAGATCTTGACTGAAATCCTTTTGGTGTAACTAGGCTTGTAAAAGGGTGACGACAACACCAACAGAAGACAATTTTCAGTAATTAAAAACTTCCAGTCTTTTATCCTGCAGCTTTTCTGACTCGCATTTCATCCCTTGCATTATGTGGAGATGGGAGAAAGGAAGGAGTCTTTTAATTACTGAAAATTCCTCCTTCCAGATGACATTCCAGCAGGGGGAAATTTTTGTAATTACAGCCTTCCTCCCTCCGTCCTGTGGCTCCCACAGCTTCCATGCAGTGAAAGGGATTACATAGGAGTCTCAAAAGCCACAGGGAAAAAATAGGAAGTTTTTTATTACTGAAAATTTCCTCTTCCTGTTGTCATTACTGTTGAAAAAATAATAATCTTGCAAGCAACGTAACACTGGGATTCAGTGGGAAACCTAACATAATTATGCCTTACCACCAACCTATCAGCAAAGTCCTTTTTCCTAGGCTTGAGGCAAGCCCTCACTTCCTGCTTGTTTACTTCCAGTTGTTTTGTTTGGTCTCTCTCTTTTCTGACTTTAAACGTTAGCAGATATGTAAACTTTTCCTTCTAACCTTTGATCATGTGGCAACAATGGTGGATCTCAGTCTAAGATGGCTGAGACTTCAATTTCTTTCTTTATCCTTTGTATTATTCTGATTGTAACTGAAGTTCTATAACTATAAGTAAATATGTTTTCCTTTTTCCACTTGAGCTATTTTTAGAGTGACTCTTAAACATAAAGGGCTAGTCACTATGAGAACAAAAGGGGTTGAGTGGAAGCTGGGTCTTTCAACTTTCTCCTTCACACTTCCCCTGCACAGCAGATGGCTTTTGTACTTTTTACTTTTTTAACTACCCTGTTTCTCTGAAAATAAGACCTAACCTGAAAATAAGACCTGGTATGGCTCTACCCCAAAAATACGCCCCAGTTAAGTGAAACCCCGCCCTCCACCATTATGCAGCCACCAGAAGAAGATGGCATGACGGTACGTGAATAAATGTAGATTGTTGTACATGGAAAAAATAAAACATCCCCTGAAAATAAGCCCTACTGCGTTTTTGGAGCAAAAATTAATATAAGACCCTGTCTTATTTTTGGGGAAACATGGTAAAAGGAATTAACAAAAGAAATCATCCAACAATTATCACCCTTTCACAGCAGTTACACAATAGCTTTCAGCCCGTATGTGATTAACACATAGTTTCACATGAATATTTTAGCATAAGTCTGAACCCATGAGGTACAGATTATCCTTAAATATAGAGTCATACTGATAACAAATATTGCATACAAAAGTTTGTTTTTCAAAAAGTTATTGACAAAAATGAGAACAGTTGTGTCTTCTTAAAAATTTAATAGGTGATAAAACAGATCTTCAAAAATGGACATTTTCATACTCTTAAATACAAGCAAGTTATTAAATAAGAACCATGGTTAGAACTCAGTTATAAAACATGCAGACAAATGGATAGAGCACTCTTCCGATTTTGGTACACAATACTTTCCTTGATAACTTGTTTCATAATCCACAGAGTGGTTTGGGGCTAGTTCAGATGCAATGATAACCCAGAATTTGTCAAGGCCCTGGTTTAGCAGGAGCAAACACGTATGCTACTATGCGTCCCATTAACTTCTGCTTGGCTCCTCCTTCCAATGGAAGCAGCTAAATACATTAGGAAGTCATGTTCATGGTTTGCCTAATGTTTCAATTAATTCAGGTTCCCTAGGTATTTGGTCTCCAAATAAACCAGAATTGTAACTCAAGAGCAAATGGAAGCTTATGACCCTACTCTCTTAGGAGACCAAAAAGGCATGGATCCAGTTTAGGTATGAAACAAATAAACCATGGATGTTTTCTGGCTCTTTGTTAATCTGTTCTTGTTAGGAGGAGGTGCCAAGCTCAAGGGATTGAGTAACATGTGTTGTCATGTTTGATCATTTGTGACAAAACACTGCTGTGGAAAAAAATGGATTAACATTACATCCAAACCAGCCTAATGCAAAAAAACAAAACAAAACAGTATTTTTAATTGGCCAGGACTGTCCTATTTTTAAAAAGGAACCAAGATAGAAACATGAATATTGTTGAACAGTGAAAAAACCAAAGGGTGTGGCTCAAGAGACATTGGCTCAGGACATGCATATTTCTGGAGTATATGGTTGTGAAAGTTTCGAATCCTCTGTCTTTTCTTGTCCAGAACTCTGGTGCATAGTCTTGCGTTTAAACAATCGTAGACTTAACCGCAGTAATTCATTGTCCACCACTGGAGGATTTGTGTAAGTTTGCTTTGTTGTACCCTGTGTTGAATAGAACAACTACAAGTTAGTCATGTCAGTAAGGTGGGTTCAGATTTTGTTAACTAATAAACATAATGACATTACACATAATTGGCATTTGTGAAGCAATGGCCAGAATCCTGTTGCCAGAAGTAAAGCTACATAAGGTCAATGGCATCATCAGCCACTGCAATGTTCTGATTCCCTCTGAAGGTCTCAAGGCTTCCTTTGGATCCCTTTCATTGTGGGGAAGCCATTGGAGGGGCACGCTACAATTTTCAGAAATTAAAGACTTCCTCTGTCCCATGGCTCCCAACAGCATCTTTACGAAGAAAGGGATACTAATGGAGTCCTGGAGGACATTAATTGGAAATTTTTATTTCTGAAAAATCATCACAGCCAATGATGTCGTAAGCCTTATGCGACATAACCTCTGGCAACAGAATTTCAGCCAGTGTTTGCTAGCCTTCAAAATTATGTATGTCACTCATTCTGTGAAGACATGAATGCTCAAAACAGGACATATGCTTAATAGAATATTTAAATTTCTCTGAAATGAAAAACAAGGTAATACAAGAGAAGAATATTTAACAGTCCCCCAAAAAATATTTTCACAGGAATTTTAGATTACATATAATCTTACTGAAATCCTATTTCTGAAACTACAACTGTGTAAGGCTAATGTCTTCGGCAAGGGTGATTTTTCAGAAACAAAAACTTCCTACTTGTATCCCCCAGTTCTCAAAGTTCATTCTCACCCTTTTATCACTTGAAACCATGGGAGCTGTAAAACAGGAGAAGGAATTCTTTAATTCCAAAAATTGCTGCCACTAGGATGGCAGCAACTGAAAAAGGTGTAGACGAGAGCAACTAAAATGATGACTGGGCTGGAGCACCTCCATTATGAGGAAAGGCTATAGCGTTTGGGGCTCTTTAGAGAAAAGGTGCCTGAGGGGGAACATGATTCAGATGTATAAAATTATGCAGGGGATGGATAAAGTGGATAGAGGGAAGCTCTTTTCCTCTCACACAATACCAGAACTAGGAGACATCCACTCAAATTGAGTGTTGGGAGAGTAAGCACAGGCAAAAGAAAATATTTCTTTACCCAGCGTATTGTTGTCTGTGGAACTCCTTGCCATAGGATGTGGTGATGGCATCTGGCCTTTGAAAGGGGATTGGACAGATTTCTGGAGGAAAAGTCCACCACAGGTTACAACTCATGATGGGGGTGTAGAATCTCTAGGCTTAAAAGGAAGGTACCTCAAAATGCCAGATGCAGGAGAGGGATATCAGGAGCGAGGTATCTAGTTGTCTCATGTGCTCCCACAGCTGGTGGGGCCACTGTGAGACATCTGGTGGGGCCACTGTGAGATACAGGAAGCTGGTCTAGATGGGTCCTTGGCCTGAGCCAGCAGGGGTCTTCCTATGTTCATTCCCAGTAGAAGTAATTTTTGATGATTAAAGATGTCCTCCTCCCATTCTGTTGCTGCTGCGGCTTCCAAACAATCATAGGATGGAAGGAGGAGGTGTTTGATTTCTGAAATATTACTCTTGCTAATGACATCATCAGCCTTATGCAGCTGCTGAATGTTACATCAGAAGACAAATGTTTCTTAGACAATGAACAGACAGAACCTATTACAGTGGATGTTTGACTTATGGCTTATGAAATATGTTCCAGCTGTGCAGCTGGAGAACTCAACAGGACCTTGTCTTCAAAATAAGAGATAAAGCCAAGTTGCTTTAGATTTATTCCAAGTTGGGTTAGGTTTATTCAGACAGGTATTTCTTTTCTGTAGTGGCATGTAACATACACTTGCCTTTTCATTTTTCACCAGCTGTTTACGAATTGCAGAATCTCTTCTAAAGCACAGCGCTTTGCAACAAGGTCCAAGATTGCACAACAGTCCAGCTCGCTCTTCTTTTCGCAGTAGGGCAGCCATATTCAGGGCTCCAAATTCATGTTCAAAAAGTTTCTCTGCATCTACAAAGCAACAGCGCATCTAAAGATTATGAATTTCCCCTCGAAATGGTGAAGACATTATACAGCAATGCTGGCACTTTACAGAGTAGCCACCGGGAACCAAAGTTGGATGAAAGTACTAGTCTACAGAGTAACATACTGTAAGCAAGAAGCAATGAGTACCCAATCCTCAAGAAATTCCACAACTTTCTACAGCAGGTTGCAGGCTGTATGTGCAGAGGTTAGAATATAGTCTCTGTACAGATTCCATTCCATCTGCAAATGGACACTATTTCCTTTTAGCCAGAGATCCCCCAAAAGCAGCCTGAAGTCTCATACGCCTGTTGTGAATTGGAGGTGTGAAGCAACACAATATACTTCCAAAGAAACCATAGAGAGAATTGTTCGTTTTTAAAAAGAAAATAAAAATGTCTGCAACAGCAGTCAAGTTTTAGCCTGGAAGCTGAAGCAGAGACAGAGAAAGTTACTGCAATTTTTCTCTCTACAGGAGCAAAGAAATCAAGCCAACTCTTGCACTTCAGCAGAAAAATCATCAGGTTAAGACTAATCACCAAGGAAAAGTGATTAAGATAGAAGCATTTAATCAAACCTTTTCTGCCTGCTTAAGCTGACCAGAAGCATTCAGCCCAATCTCTATATCACTCCCACACAAAACAAAAAGCAACAAAAATGAACTTTACACAACACAAAAAGAAACTTCAAGTAGGCTTAGCAATAATTTCCAGGTTACTGTTTTGCTAAGAAAAGACTTTGTTCTAAGGGCAACAATTTCAATAGTTGATGAGAGCAGCTGTAAAACCACAGGTGATGAAACATCTGCTTTTATTTGATGACTTTATTTTGTCAATTGTGTCAGGTTTTCATTCCTACTACTGTAAACCCAAAACATACAACAAAAAATCTGGCAACAATTACTTGTGCTTGTTGACTTTGGTTTCATGTGGAGTGCAGAAATATGTTAAATTAGCTGTTCCTGTTATGGAACCACCCTCCATTGAGCTTTGCAGAAACTCTGGATTGTTCAGGAGCTATTATAAGACTTCCTTGTTTAAGCTAACTTCTGACCTGAGCTAAACAAGCAAAGTAAAATCTGACTTTTGTATTTCAATACTTTTAAAACAAAATGCAATGCATATACACAATGGAATAGGAAGTAAAACACATCTGTTTTCCAAGAATAATTGGAACTATTTATCCCGAAGGCAAAAATTCACACACAAAAAATCAACTTAAATATGTAGAGATAAAATAAAAGATCTAAATTGTTGAAAACAGCAAATTGCACCTGTACATTAACATTTATTTTTTCATGTACAGAGAACCAGTGTGGTCTAATGCAGCGGTCCCCAACCTTTTTAGCCCCGCGGACCAGCTGGGAAAGGTGGGGCACCCTCCTGCACTCGTGCGCATGGGCAAAGGGTGGCACAGTGCTCGTGCGGGTGCCCTTGCATGCAGGCACAAGGGGCTATTGCAGGGGAGGAGGTCTCTCTCCGTGGCCCAGTCTGGCTCAGGCCACGGACTGGCACCAGGCCGCAGACCGGGGCTGGGGACCTCTGGTCTAATGGATAAAATGATGGACTAGGATTCAGGAGAGATAGGTTCAAATCTCCACTCAGCCATGGAAACTCACTAGAGTGTGGCACTAGTAAAACTACTCCTTAAGTATCTCAACAGAAAATACTATTAGGGTCACTGTAAGTTGGTTGCAACTTGACGGCATGTAACATGTATCAGGATTATGCATACAAGTTCTGTACAAGCAGTGAAGTCTTGGATTCTGCATACACCCAGTTTCCCATTAGCACTCACCATCTTATGACTCAACACACCAATTGGAGCACTATTCCCTTCCCTCTTTTTGAGAGAGCCATAGTGCAATAATTGAGCATATATATGTGTGTGTAGCAAGCTTTCCAGTTATAATGTACTGTACATTTAAATGGAGGCAGGGGGCCTGAAAAGAAAGCCTAACTGTGTGCAGAGTTTCTGGGGAGCAGTATATGTAAGCCATCCCTCAGCCAACAATGCATATTAGAGGACATGGGAAGAGAAACCATATTTAATTACTAAGAAGGCTTTACCAAAATTTATATCATATGTTTAGAGGTTTCTACAGCCCATCACAGCTTTGTGTGACCAAGAAACAGAATGCAGGGTAAATCCACGAAGAGTCACAATGCTGCAGAGACCAAGCCTGATTCTTAACTAGTGAGGTTATTGCAGCAAGCAATATATTTGCTCCACCCACCCACCCTTTAGTGTCACCTACTGGGAAAATCAAGAGCTGCATTTTATTTTTTATAGAGAGGACATGTCCCACCCTTCATCATGTGACCAGGCTCTCACAAGAAATCTGGACAGGAACACAAAAGACCAATATTCTGCTGGCATTTGCAACGACTGCGTAGGCTGACATGGCTAACTGATGGACGTTCAAGGGTACGTATCAGGTGTGTGATCTGGCCGCGAGTAGGCATGTGACAAACACATGACCAATAACTGATTGACAGCCATGGCAACTTACACAATCCCTCTGCAAACACCAATGGGATCTCTCTAATATATATTTCTTTACACATTGTTGTACTACTAGCAGAGTTACAAGCAGGTATTTCATACAGTTAATCTGACACAGCTTCTAAAGTATGGTGCGTGAGCAACAACAAAACAAAGCCAAATGCAATCCTCAAAATCTTTTCTAATATATTTACAGGTAGTATTGGGAATGGACAAATTACCTTTAGGTTTCTCCAAAGTTCTCTGGCATGTTTCTTTGATTTTGCTGAAAAGTGGAGGGCCAGCCAGCTGCTTGGAAATGCCAACTCTCAACATAACAGCACCTGGAGTAAATTTTAAAAGAGCAGCTCCAGGCTCTCGGGGCTCCTTGGGCTGCTTGGGCATAAGGCTAGACCAGTCCACATCAATTACATCCACGGGATCTGTAAACACATAAAAGAAGACATCACCACTTTGTTCAAGGAAACAGTCAGAGAGAGCACAACTCAGCAGGCAGCCTTTAATCAATGACTACAGAATGGATATTATATAAATGGTTAAGAATCTGATATACAGAATTTCCCCAGCACCTGTTCCTAAATTAACCACAAGGTGTTTGGTCATTGGAAATACAGCACTGCATGGGGGGAGAGAGAGAAAGGAGCAATATTTGTGTTTCTTCCTTGATGAGAAGGAAGGAGAGAGTTAAATTGTGTCAGAAGCAGCATGAAGGTGACATGTTGATAACAGGTGTAGGAATGCAGGAAGCACGGTGCATGATAGCAGCAAACACGTTAAACGGTGGTAGAACACTCTCCCTTCCCTGGCTATTAAGCTTATCTGTGAGAAGAAAGAAAGAGATCCTTCAGCAGTTCCTTTAACTACTGAAGTTTAAACTACTGACTTGAAAAAAACCATAAAGTGCCCAGATAGGAACTGCATCATGGCCTCTCTTCTCTCTCTGAATCATGTGGTCACTGTGTAAAAAGTGTTTCCCAGCTGTGAGAGACAGCAAAACCTAATTCAAAGGATAGAAATGAAGGGTACTTTTAAAAACACAATTCAAAATCAAAGATGGGGCTAATATATGGGCTTAAACTCTTCCTCAATGTCAAAAATTTGGGACTATCACAAATCTACTTGACTAAATGAATTCTAAGATACCTTTTCATTTAGAATAAGGCATTTCCCTTGAAAATTCAGACTGTGAAATGAATCGAACTATAATTCAGTGTTTCTAATTTAAAGACACATGTCCTCTTCATGGAACAGCTGGAAAATTATAAATATTTCTGGTAAGACAGCACATGGCCTTAAATTTAAAGATATCAGAACTGAAGTTGCTAGACACATTTATAACAGTTAGCAATTCAATTATAAAAAACAGATGCTATCTGCATGCTTTTTGTAAGGAGAGATACCAGAATCTCCTCTAAATGAAAAGATGCTACAGTTAATTTCATTAAGTATAATGAGTGCATCCTTCTACTTTCTCAGTTCAAACAAAGTTTGTTCCCCTTGAAAGAAAACAGAAAACATATTCATCATGACACCTTATCAACTGTTTTTCCTGCAGAGATTAAAAGAAGGATAATGATGCTGTCCACATGGAAAGGCTGACTAAAATGAATCCTTATCAAACCGTTCCTTGATGTGATGCACTCAGGACTCTGATTCACCACTGTACCTCTTGTTTATGGAATAACTGCATTCTAATTATCCTCCACATTGTACTCTGCTGCCTTCCTGTGAACTGAAGATAACCATTCTCAAAGGCTATATTACTGGAGCATAATTTCTTTCAGGTTTTATGAGGCTGATGAAGCTTTGAGTGCAACCTTAGGAGCACACTGTGTGCAAGGACCAGCCTAGCTAAGTACAGAGAGACTCACTGCCAGGTTGGCCATCAGGAGACAAACTGATCATAGGCATTACGTATGGTATACTTGTGATCTGTATTGATAGAAGAGCTACCCTCTTCAATAAAATAACAGATCTCCATGTATACATTTTAAAACACTGCCTTCATTCTTAAAACTCCGCCTTAAAATGGGAAATCTGGCCAGGTTCGGGTCAACAGGCTAGAACCTACCCTCTTCCTTCTTTGCCAGTACCCCACTGAGCCCAACTCTGGTGTGAATATCCTGGTTTTGCAAAACATGTTATGCAATCATCATGCTTACAAATCAAGATCTTTTATTTATTCTGTTCTAATTTAATTTTTTTAAAGATTCCCAGAGATCAGAATGCAAAGCTTCAGGACCTACCAAATTTCCTTCCCTTTCCACACATATGCAATCTACGGAGTCATCTAGAGTTAACATTTGTTGATAATGATGGAAGAGAAGTTCAAAGTTCTCAGAAGCTGTATGATGTTCTTTTTGTGCACAAACCTGAAACACCAACAGTAACAAAAAAGGGATCTACCATGCTTACCTGGCATCTTCTCCTCATCCTGCTGATCCTCCCGCTTTTCAGCATCGCCTGCCAAAATTTCATCCAGTTCATCATCACTGATTGGCTCATATTCTCCAGCACCAGATCCCATGGACTGTATGTCATCTATTTTGGCTTCATCATCTCCACCTACTGGAAAAAAGAAGAAGTGGGGAAATGGATTTATTTCTACTTTTCCAAGCTTGAGGTTGACTCAGCCGTCCATCCTTCCAAAGTCAGTAAACTGAATACCCAGCGTGTGGATGTGTACTGTATAGCCTGCATAACTAAACTGTAAACCACCCAAACAGTGCTTTAAGTGCTATGGGGTGGTATATAAGCAGCACACTTTGCTTGGCTTTGTACAGCAAAAAACAAAAAAACAGAAAAACAAAAACCTAACTACTGTATATTCCCATATCTCAACCCACCACCCAATATTTCACCTTCTGTGTTTTCAGCTTTTTCAGCTTCAATTCCATCTTCAAAGCCTTGCAAGAGTCCCAAATCTTTTTCCACTCTTTCTTTCTCTAGGGAGGTTGAGTCCAGGCAGATGGCCTCAAAGTCTGGATGCTCTTTGCTTGGCTTTGGTTCACTGTGCTTGGGTAACTCCGTCTGAGAGGAAATACTGAGGCCCCTGTCTCTTTCAGGGTTCTCAGGAAGCAGCCGCTCTTTTTCACGGTCCATATCTCTCCGTTTTTCCCTCTGCCTGTCCCATTCTCGAATTCTGTCCCGCTCTCTGCTCCTCAACCAATCTTTAGCTGTATCTCGCTCCCAATCTCTTGGCCTCCCGTCTCGCCTTTCTCGGTCCCGTTCACGATCATGTTCATGTCTGTCTCTGTCCAGCCCTCGTTCCCTGCTGTCAAAGGATCCAGATCTGGAGTGACCTTGGCGATCTGATTCAGGAGAACTTCGCCTCGAACTGTGACTTCTTGAATCTTGTCGATCTGGACAAAATATTGAGACAGTGTATTGTGACGTTTCACATGGAAGACGTGGCTGACTGGATGGAAATAGACTAACACGGTTTAACTCTTTTAAGCTTCTGTTCAAAAGTTAAGAACAAGTCCTTCCTACGAACATCAAATTCTATATTGGCTGTTACGATCACAAGTTAATTAACTGTGGTCACTGCCCACAAAATGAGTCATGGCCATGTGCCATCACTTATTGCCCTTCCCTCCCTCATTTCTAACTTGGCTTCAGTGCTAATATTTTTGTTTATTCAAACATTTTCTTGTGACACAAGAGCTGGGAAAGCATTATTTAAATACTGCTTCATAAACCACAACACAATCCCATGTGCCACAGAACAGTGCCAGCAAAACTCACATATATTTTCTTTTTCATTTCTCCTCTCATCCATTTCCATCCCTGTTTATTTGTTCATTAACTTTCTTCTCTTTCTTTCCCCACTTCATCTTTCTCTCTCTCCTTTCCTCCTTAGTTATACTACTTCTATCCTCTCCCATGACACCAACAAAAGATTTTGTCAAAGCCTTATTACTGCATATTCAGGGTCAATATTAAAAGCATACAAACTTCACTATTTTGTTCCCAACTGCGGTATCTCCAACCTCCACCCAGGCAGCAAATTAAGCTTTTAAAATAAACTTCCACTCACATTAACAGAATCTTTAAGAAGAAACACATTATTGAGGCATAAAGATTGGGCTGAACGGACAGGCCCACGTGGTTCCCCACCACTGCTCTAATTATGTTTTCTGATTCATAATTTAGTTTTTTTGTTTTTAACATGCCTTTTTATGAATAATATTGTCGTTGTGGCTCCCTGAGCATGAAGGCACACTGTCAGTGACAACAATAAGTAGATCCACAGCTAATCTACCTGTGAAGGCATACAGCTCAGCAGGTTGAAGACTGGGGATGGTACCCAACAAGCATACAAACAAAAGGCCACATTTTCCTTGTACTCTCATCACAGTACAAACCTGCAGCCACCTACTCCCTAGGGGTAGGGATATGGTCTGGAACGGTTAGGGAAACAATAGCTAAAAACCTGCTGCTCAGCATATTAAGTCATAACTGCAGGAGGTCTATTGAATCAATGGAACTTTCAAAGGCGCTAACCCCACAAATCCACACTGAGTCAATGGGCCTACTCTAGCTAGGACTGATTATGCTAAGCAAGTGGATTTCAGTGGGAGGCTGCAGTGAATACAAAGAAGAGACATTGACACAAACATAGCAAGTCAACTGGAATTTACCTGAAGAGGTGCTGCGACTAGGAACACCTCGTTTTAGCTGATCAATTCTTGATTTCCGCTCCCCAGACATTTCTAGACACCTTCTCTCTCTGTCACTGGAGCTGCTATGCAAGATCTTCTTCAAACCCATCTGGTCATCTCCACTGCGGTGGGCAGAGTCATTGGAGGGTGATCGGAGTCTACTGGAAGTATGGCTTCGATTGCTGCAAAGACTGCTGCTACGTTTCTGTTCAGCAGGCTTGATGTGGGGAGTATCTTCTACAACATGTAAAGTTTCCACAGTTTCAGCCCTTGTGCGATGACTAGTTCTATGGGATTCCTCAGAACTTCTTTCCACAGGAGGTTCTCCACGCTCCGGAACATCTTCATCTGACCAGTCACTAAAAGTCGTATCTTCTCTTTTGGGGGCAACTTCTACTACCACTGACTTCTCAGGTACAACTTCTACCAACTCCTCTCTTGCAGTTACTGGGGGTGTCCTTGGGCCTTTCTTCTTTTTCTGGTGCACTCCACTGTCTTCTTCAGAAGCCTCAGAATCTCCTTTGGATCTCTTCCTTTTCTTCTCTGTGTTTTTCTTTTTCTGACCTTTTTTGGGAGAAAAAACTTGGGTTTTCTCTATAGTCGACTCAGTGACATAGCGCTCTAGTACAACATCCTCTTCCTTCTTTTTCTTGGTGGCCTTCTTCTGCACTTTAGTTTTTTTCTTGTCTTCATGTACATGATCGGCAGCCTCACGGTCTTCTGAAACCCGATTACTTACAGTCTCCTGGGCCCTGGCCCTTGAACTTTCATTGAGCTCCCGCGGCTCTCGTGGTTTGTCCCCTGAAGTCCCTCGCTCTTTGAAGTCACTTTCTTCATAATGCCTAGAGCTGTCCTTTCTCTCTGGTTTTCGGTCACTGTCTTTCCATCGACTCTGCTTATCTTCCGAAAGATGCGCAGGGCTCAGTGATCGTGATTCTTGAGGTCGGACAACCTGACTTAGTAACCTCCGCTTCTCATCTATAAACGATGAAAAATATATCACGACATTTCATTTTCAAATAGGACCTTACATCTGGCTAAACTGCTTAAGATGCAGCTGATTGGCTTGCATGGACCAAACAATTACATCATGGAAGGAACAAGGTGTTCCATTTCCATATATACATTTCACAACCTCCATGGCAACCATGCTCCCCCCACGCCCCAATTTTCCTGCCCCACCTCCTCCAGGTGCTGCCTCTGAATGGATGCCCACTGGCAGAGGCAGGGCTGGGAAGCGGCAAACACTTCGTTCAGTTAAAGTATGAACTGGCATGAACTGCCAGTTCAGTAGTTCATGCCCATCTCTAGTTACAACTACAGTAAAAAAAAAATAAATGGCACTCATGTGGCAGTGGGCAAGAGACAGACTGCTGGAAACAGAACAGACTAACATGTGCAGTGCAAAATAAATATTTAAGGAGTAACTATTCACAAAAAAAAAACCATGAGAACAGCACAAAATAAAACAAAGTTAAAACGGGAGAAGCCTTATTCTGATAAACCAAACTGTCTTTTTCTATTTCAGCCAGTAAAATGATGAATTATTTCTAACCTCTCTTGCAGTACGCAGACCCAGTGCTTCACTTACTTTGATCATCTCCACTGTTGTAGGCATCACTGTCAGGAGAAAGCTCCCGGCGACGCTTAGGTGACTTATGTGGACTGGGGCTACTTTCATTTCTGTGCCGTTTCCTACATGGAATCAAAAGTATGGAATCAATCCCTATGCACTTTAGTTTCGTTTATTTATTTGTTTATTTTTACAATTAACGTACTTTGATTTCCTCTCTTCACGGCTGTCTCTCGTGGTTCTTTCCTCCCGGACATCTTCTCTCTTGTCCCTGCGTTCTTCTCTTCCTCTTTCTTTGTCCTCCCACTCTCTTGGGCGTTCTCTTTCTTTATCTCTTTCTCGTGCTCGCTCTCTTTCCCGTTCTCGTTCACGCTCTCGTTCTCTTTCTCTTTCACGCTCCCTTTCCCGTTCTCGCTCCCTCTCCCTCTCCCTCTCCCTGTCTCTGTCATGGTCCCTATCTCTTTCTCGTTCTCTATCTTTGTCCCTCTCTCTCTCTCGTTCACGGGCACGATCACGTTCACGTTCCGCCTCTCTCTCCCTTTCTCGTTCTCTCTCCCGGTCTCTAGTTCTTTCATCTCTTCTGTCTTCACTTCTATCTACCCTCCGTTCATCTATCCTTTCATCACGTTCAAGGTCATCGTTTCTCCCCTGGTGTCGCACTGGTGAGCTTGGCCTCTGATCTGAAAAAATAAACAAATTTCATTGCCATATAAAAAAATGAAAAAAAATTATAATCCAGTCCATTATCAAATGTTTGTAAACACTCATTTATTTCCATTTCGCATTACTGCAATGGGTTTACTTGCACAAACCGTGCAAATTAACACACATGGTAGAAGTTTTCAGTATAAATCTCCGGCATCTCCAGTTTAACAGAATGTCAAGCAATACCTGACAGGGAAAACCTTCAGCTTGAGACTCTGGAGAGGTGCTGCTAGTGCAAATGCACAAACCAGTCTGATGTGGTGTAAGTCATATAAAGCTATGCTATATAAACTCAGTGAAGGAATTCTTTGTGTCCCAACTACTTAAAGAAACCATGTGTAGAAAAATCTCAATATTCTGGGGTGAGTCACAAGATCTCAACAAACCTTAGTTAACATCAGCAGTGTGTTGTAAAGGAAAAGGAGATCAATATTAAGGAGGAAGAAATCTACCTTAATTGATTGTCATAGCTGATAAATGGTATTTGACAGGTTATCAAAGAGAAAAAGAAAAAAGCCAGAAAGTCCTTGTACACAATCTGAAGACAAGGATGGGTCTTATACTCAAGTCAGAGGTGTACATTTCAGATTCCGCCTCTGGTGCCTTTATTCTGCTTAATTAATATTGTGAACCACTTAAGAGAACTTTGGACAAAACATGGGTAAGAATCTACTACATGTTGTAGCCGCTATGTGCCGCTAACATTTTTTCTATAATATGGTTATCTTATGAATTAAAGCTCTTCAAAAAGTCTTGTCATTAACAAACACAAGGCTATGATTTCATTTAGAGAGTCGGACCATTTCATCTTACATCTTTCTCTTTTTCTTGAACATCACTTTGTTTACAAGGGAAATCAATGAGAAGGTCTTACAAGTTACTGCAATTTTGACATCTTTCTCTGGGACTGGAATGCATATTTAAAAATTTCAGTCTCTGGCCTATTGTTTTGCTTTCTGTATGTTACCATATTCCTCTTTGGATTTCTGTAGATGCGGTCCCTGTGGACTGAAAAACGTTCTACTGGTATCCCATATACTGTACTCTTGGTGATTTATTTCTTCCAACTCCTTTGAGGGCAGTTTTCACATTTTTAGAACTGAAGATTCTTCACCATAGGATTCTTTTTTGAGCAAATATATCATCCTTGCTCTTTTTCTGTACAGTTTTTAGCACATTGCTTCCATCTTTTTATTTTATTTTATACTAATCAGACAATACATTCCAAAGTGATATTTCAGCATCTCTAGCCGTGGTTTAAATTTCCTTTTGATTTCCTGCATCTTATGATACACATCTTCTTTTGTTATCCTCTTCTATTTTTGCAAGGATAATTATAATGCTCTTTGTCTTTAAGTGCAAACTGACAACATATTGGTTTCTAATGGTACTCTTGTCATGTTTATTTTTCTTTCCTCTCTGTTATTAAATCAAGTTTCCAGTTACCTTGGAGATGATCCAAAATACACTGACAGAATTTAATACTGACCACATCAGTTGGGACTCTCACTCAAGATTGAAATATCTGGCAAAATGCCATCAACAAAGCCACTGGAAAATTGAATATTAAAAAAATCAAGGATACACAAAGGAAGAGGGAATTGAGAAAGTAAAAATGTAACATCTCAATAGTCCAATGAGTTCAGCCAGGATCACCTACCCTGCTCCCACTGCTTCACTATCTTCCAGGCTTGCACTGAGCTACTCAGTAACCTTTGTGTCCTTCAACATGCTACTGGTCAAGATTAACTGTTCATTTTCTTTCTTCTCTAAATGGTAAATCTGATGGAAATGGTTTTCTTCAAAAATGAAGGATGAATTATACATACGTATACTAATAGTTTGCTCTTCTCAAATAGCTGACTAAGTGCCTTCCAATATGGGAGTCTCCTCTTGCAGCTCTACACTGTGTTTCATTTTGCATTTTCTCATCGTACAAATTTCAAGGCAAAATATTCAGGACCAGTTTGCCATTGCCTTCTTTCGTGCAGTACTAACAAGAGTTAAATTGAGCATCTCTAATATTGTCTATGAAAGATCATTTGGCACTGTTACCTTCCACTATTGCTGCAAATTAAGTCTAGTTCAGCTATTAAAAACGACCACTGTATCCCACAGAAGAAGAATCATCACCTGTGTTCTGGAACATAAATGACATTCCTCAGTTGATGTAAAAAACCCTGCTCCTCATTCCAGATCAAAGGGATGAAGGGGGTAGTGGAGTTTATTCCCATCACAAACAGCACCTCATCATGACAGTTAAGGACTGTGTGGAGGGAGAAACTGAATGTGTTACAATTCCCTAGGGGTAAAACCCCACCAGACTCAAAGGTAGGTTTTGCCTCAAAGTGCAACATGACTTCCCTCTATCACAGTGTATGCCAATGGTTACCCCCAATTTTCTCTCTGCCATTGGTGGCTGTAGCCAGACAATTGAGGATGGTTAGACGGAGCTTATAACAGTCCTGTTATATCACCTCCACTGGCTGCTGGCCAAGTCAAAATGGAGGTTATCACTGATAAAACCCTATACAGGTTCAGGCTATCTGAAGGACTTCATCTACTTGCAAGTCTCTCCCAGTTTTACGATCCTTGGGAGAGCCCTTTCTCATAAACTTACTGCCTTTACAGACATGTTTTAGCAACAATGTGAGAGACAGCATTTTCAGTGGCTACTCTCAGGCTGCGAAACCCTCTTCCATAGGATAGGTTGCCCCCTCTCCTTATTCTTCTGTAGCAGTGAAAGACTTTTCTCTTCAGTTGAGGTGCTGGCTAGTGGTTGCAGCAGAGCTGCAGAAAATTTATAATAGGGGATGCGGCGCTTCTCTTTGAAACTGTGATTTCTGTGTGCCTTTTGTTGTTGACTTTGTTTTTAATTTTAGAAGTCTTTGAACATTATTATGTTATGAAACAAAAATTTCATAAAATTTTTAATATTTCAATTTATGTATGTGTTGCCACCGCCGCATGCCTGCCTCCAGTTATGTATGCCACTTTGGATCTCTGAATTAAAAGAAAGGCAGGACATAGATGAAATTAAACGAAATTAAATGAAGGAATTGGGAGTCATGCCAGAGTGTGATAGATGGGAACGGGATTTTACAAATAAGATTCAATGTATGTCACTATATCTGTCAGACCCAGCATGCCACCAAAAACTAAACATTCCAACTGCTGAGCTAGTGGCTAAAACAGTTCTTACCCCTCTCTCTGTTGTCTCGCTTGTCCCTTTCTCCATGTCTCCTTTCAAAGGAAGAATCTCTTGCATGATCTCGACTTTCATAGCGATCCCTCTCGGGATAACTGCTCCTTGAGTCCCAGCTGTCATGGTAGCTGCTGCTAGTGTTGTGGCTGTCGACCTGAGATCCCCTTGTGGCTCGACTACCTAAAAAATATATATGCAGAAAACATGGAAGGATCTCTGCTACCCCAATTAATGTTACAGAGCTACTAAAAATAATATAATATAGAAGTTGGCTACAGAGAGAAGACCAAACTGTTCATATTCAGAGAAAGAACTAGATATACTCATTATTGTTCAAAATAGTAAGCTAATATGATACCCTTATATACACTATAACTTATCTGCAAAGTGATAAATTTGCCATAAAAGAAACAACTATAAGGAAAAAAAGCTGGAAAGTACTGGAAGTTAGTCTGGTCCAGTATGTGCTCAAAAGCACTCTCTTCCCTGTTAACAGCCTTCTGCAGATTAGGCAAAAAAAAAATCTGAAGTACAGAATACTGCCCACAGAGAATTACAAGAACATAATGATAGGAGCCTGTAGAATCATTAGTTCAACTAAGATGAACTCTGTAAAATGAGAGAGATTCATAGATTTCCCATAGTAATGGCAAAGATAGAGACAGACAAGACATTTAACAGTTCTCTCAGCAGCTGCACTGAAAGACAATAAATGAACACAATCAGTGGTGATGCAGAAAAATGCTAAAACATTAATTCTCGTAACAACAAATATCAAAAAGGAAGAAATCCACCTGATTTTTATATTCCCATTATGCCTCTACTCCTTAGAATAGCTTTTAGGCTGTCACACATCAAACAGGATGGCAGCTAAAGCTGGGTCTGTCATAAAAGGAAGGAGTCGATTCAGTTTTAAAAATATAGTAGGATTCCCCCTCTCTGCGAGATCAGTATCTGCTGATTCATTTATTCGCTGCCTGAAAATAATACCGTATTTCCTGGCGTGGCGGGCAAGCGGGCAGCTGGCTCAGCAGCAAGGAGGGCGAGGAGGAAGGGAAGTGGCTTTCCGGCGGCGGGCTCTGGCCGCTCAGGCATGGCTGGCTCTGCTTCCCTCCCTCCATCCGGACCGCCTGCCTGCCTGCCTGCCTGCCTTCCTCCCCGACCAGCGCGGCCCCGCGTCACTCACTCAACAATGGCGGCTCCTTCCTGGCCCCTTGGAGGCATTTTTTGCGCCCAAAAAGTCATCTTGTATGCCAGCAAATACGGTAAATAAAAAACCTCAGAAATATGTATTCATATATACTTCCAGCGTGTATTCACAAAAAATAGCCACTAGAGGGAGCCAGAGATCATGCAATGTACAGTGTTCCACATATCTGCGTTTTTAAGGGGCATTGGAACCAATTCCTGCAGTTACTGAAGTCCTACTGTACTTTAATGAAATTTCTACTATAGTGATTTAGCAGACTTCTCAACAGTGAATCACACAACAAACTCAATATTTCATTTATGGTACCCTTGTCTGATAATTCAGTGGTTCTCCCTCTACTTCTTCCAGACGTTCTGGATTCATTTCTGGATTCACTTCTTGAGTCTGTCCTTGTTTCAGTGCGAGAGCTCTCTTCTCTGCCATGGGATCTTCCATAGCTACGTGTTTCCTCCAAATATTGTTCTTCCTTCTTATGAGTGTCTCGACACTCTCTCTCTCGATAGTCATGAGTGTCCCGTGTGGAACGCAACTCCCTCTGGTCACGACTTTCTTTATTGTCTCTGCTACAGTCCCGTGTATCCCTTGAGTCCCTGGTGTCTCGTGATTCTCTTTGATCCCTGCGTTCTCTAGTATCTCTGGTCTCCCTTCGATCCCGTCCATCTCGAGACTCTCGATCATCTCTGTGATCTCTGGGAGTACTCTGTTCTTGGTCATAGTCACGGTCCTCTCGGTTATCTCTGTCTCTTCCCCTTTTTCCTCTTGTTTCTGAAAGTGAATTTTCACATATTTGCAGTTAAATGTTAAATTACCACCATTATCAAAAGTGTAATGATTTCTACTAAAATGAGAGAAGAAATATATAAGGAAGTGGGTTCTCCCCTCCCCCCATGGAAGTGAGGCACTTATCCATGTTTTTGAGACATAGTTCTCTACAACATCCAATGCTGGTGTTTTAATACCATTTGTGTTCTTTAATTAAAAAGCTGTAGGAATTCTTTTCTATTTTGCAAGTGGGCAAGGATGCAGCACACTTTGTGTCATGCTCCAGACAAAGACTTCCAGAATCTACTTCCAAAAGGAAATGCTTCATGATCAAGGACTGCCACGGTTAGATCTCAAGCAACCGGAAGTTACTGCAGAAAACACTTTGTGATATCTTAAAAAACAAAACAAGCAAAAGTCTAGTATCCCTGCATGATAATCTTTCCTTTAACTAGCAATAATATCAGTACAAGCATTCAAAGCTTTCCCTCATAGCTCCAAAATAATTTCTATGAGCTACATCCTTCCTGCCACTCTTCTGCATAACTCACTTTGAGGTCTTCCACCGGTTGCTCAGAATTTTACTACTGTATATAGGAACAATGTTGTTCCATCATCTTCTAATTTTCAATCAGTTATAAAGTCAACCCTCCAAAAAGTTCTCCTTTCAGCTCACACATGCTGAGTTTTCCCTCAGAAGACTTTTAGAGATGGCAAATGTTTTTTTTTAAAAAAAATAAAATCAAAATTAAGCTTTTTGAAAATGAAGATATAGTTTTCATTGGTCACATTCCAGATATCATCCTCCACAGATGGTGAGGAATTACTTTTTGTACCACATGTTCACTCTTCTTACCAAAGAGTATAAGCATACACAAGTGTAACACAAGTGTATGCTTACACTACAAACGTTAATATTTAACATTTTCCATCCATATATCCAGTGGTGATGTTAACTCTATGGCCAGCACTTCAAGATCCAAGTTTAGGTACCCTGAGAGGAAGAGTACACAACCTCTCATAACATGAAAATTACAAATAGGTTGCAAGTATAAAGACTGCCTTTATTCTAATCCCTGTCCATACCATCCCTCCTTTCTTGGCGCCGATCATGTGACTGTGAAATCCGCTCACGATCGTGTCGGCTTCTCTCTCTAACTGGAGAACGGTGTCTTGAAGACGTCTGTTTTTGTTGAGGGGAAGCTCTGTGAGGATAAGGGGACGAAGAACGGCCTACGGGTGGGGAAGCTGTCCTTTTGTAAGAGGGGGAAGGAGTTCTTTTGTGACGTGGTGAGGGAGAGCGTCTCTGAATAGAAGAGCCTGACTGAGATGAAGAGGAGTGATGCCTTGAGGATACCGGAGAATGACGCTGAGTTGGTGGTGAAGCAGACCTGTGGGTGTACAAATATATCCAAGTTGCTGCTACAGGTACGCACATTTTGAGCTCTGCCACACCTATCCAGCTAATAACCTCTGGCTTAAATGGCATGTCTCTTGCTCACTAAAAGCACAGACTCATGTATCTGATACTGACTAGAAATCCCCTCCAGGTCCATTTAAATATTCAAAGAGAGCAGCAGAAACCCCTTAGCCTAGTATATTTCACCCTACCTTATTTCAACTTCACTAAGTTACGGAACAGTATATCTCAGCTTTGGCTGTAGACCTGATTTTTTTAAAAACTTTCATTTACTAAGTTCCTGTATTTATATATTAACTAATAACCAAAGGCTAGCTTGCCGAAGGTAATACTTCTCCCATTATCTACAGTACTGCTACTGTTATTTTCTTTACAACTATCAAGCCCATCTCTCATCACAAGGCTTAAAGGTAAAAACTGTTGATATTCTCTATGTTAACACTCTTGGTTCTTCTGCTACAGTCAACCCTCAACTTACGAATGGCCCTACATACGATTTATGAACAACTCCACTGCCAAAAATTGGCATCGACTTGTGAACGGAACTAGACCTATGAACGAGGTCGAGGCTCCGTTCGCAAGTCAATGCCACTTTTTGCCAACGGAGCCATTCGTAAATGGCTCCCTGCAAAAAGGCAGGGAGAAAGGGCTGGAAATTTGAATTTCCTGCCCTTTCTTCCTGCCTTTTTGCCTTCGGAGCTCTCAAAGGGCTTTCGCCGATGTCGAGGGGGGGGAGTCCTTTGAGACCTCCGAAGCTGCCAATCGTGGTAGCGGGGACCCCCAGGGAGGTCTCCCAGGGCTTGCCCGCCACCATGGAAGACCTCCCCAGGGGCGCCGCCGCGGCGATCTGCGCCTTTGGAGCTCTAAAAGGGTTTCTTCTGATGTCGGGCGGAAAGCCCTTTGGGACCTCCGAAGGCAAAAAGGCAGGGAGAAAGGGTGGGAAATTTGAATTTCCAGCCCTTTGCCCCTGCTTTTTTGCCTTTTGAAATGCTGGAACAGATTAATTCCGTTCCCATGCATTTCAATGGGAAATGGTACGTCAACTTACGAACTTTTCGATATATGAACATTGCTCCAATACGGATTTATTTATTTATTCTATTTATATCCCGCCTATCTGGACATTGCGACCACTCTAGGCGGCTAGAGTGGTTGTAAGTTGATGTACCACTGTATCTTCTTTCACTTTTATATATTCTTTTTCCTCTTGAGTTTTTAACTGGATCTCAGTCTTCACACACCACCATACACCTCTTCTCTCCCCATTCCTTGTCCACAAAAGCTCACATTAAAATACAACTGCTAATCTTTAAAGTGTCTCATGTTTTTGTCTTGTTTTGTTTCTTCGGATTTTGCCTGATATGGTTTCTAGCAGTTACTACAAGCCTATCAAATGTAACCTACTCCTTAGTGTGAGGTAGGAGGCCCTCAGTTTGGAATCTTCTAGACCAATGGTTCTTAACCTTGGGTTACTCAGGTGTTTTTGAACTACAACTCCCAGAAACCCCAGCCAGCACAGCTGGTGATGAAGGCTTCTGGGAGTTGCAGTCCAAAAACACCTGACTAACCCAAGGTTAAGAACCACTGTTGTAGACATTTAGGTGCCTTGGATCACTGTACCTACTTTTACTCCATGTCTCTTGCTCACAAGAACAGAACTAAGACAGTCAATTTGTATTTCACTGAGGTAGCTCAAAGAGCCAATATTTGCTTACTTTCAAGCATTCTTCAATCTAATGTTATGCTGCAAAGACTGCTTTTAGTGAGGGGAGATTTTCTCCACCCCATTTTTGTTCATAACACATATGAAAATAATCCCTGCATATTATTCTGCAAATTGGGATGGCTTGCACAAGATACATAGCAAATGTCAGCTGTCTAATTAGAATGGGAATATCCTAACCATTTTGTGATGTATTAAGGAAGATAATCATTTTTTCCCATGAGATTCTACATTCTAGGATTTTAGACTGTGAAGAAGTAATTAGGTTTGATATTTATATGAGCAAGGCAATCTTAAGTGTCTTTATACACTACAATATACAAGTGCCACTCTGCCAATAGTGATGTATGTTCCAAGCTGCTGGAGCCCAAGCCTAACCGAGTATATGAAAGGCAATGGAACTTCTTCATGATATGCTATCATCTATTACAAGGAAGACATGTCCCTCATCAAATACTGGATGTAAAACTGCCTCATATTTTGACTTTCCAATTAAACACAATGTATTGAATTACCTGTTTACTACATTTCAGTTTCCTGGATATATATCAATTCTAGCTACTTTAACTCTCCCAACTGTTGATTTATATATAGCACCGTTCTCCCTATATAAGAGACTGAAGGAGACTTACAACATTTTAAAACAAGCATGTTTAGACACCTTTGTGAATGAATGAGCCCTAAAATGAATACTCAAGACATACAAGCATACATATACAATATAAAAGCAATCTACCTGCAAGAAGGTGAAAAAGAACGCTTATGGCTGCTGGACTTTGTTGGAGCCCATGATGTCTGCCTTCTCCTTGTGGTAGGGGAATATTCTCTTGAAGGAGAGGAGTTGCTACCAGAATGTTCTTCTGGACTAGGGGAACGTCTCTGTCTGTGGGAATTTTCTGAGGGATCCCTGAAGAATATACAAATACACAAACCAATGATGAAATGGAAAACATGTAGGTGGCTTTGATCAGAATGTCTTCCTCTAATGCTTGTTCCCTCTCAGATCTCTTTGTGCAGGATAATGCATTGGTAGGCATTTGAAGGTGGCAAGAAGGAACCTTTGTTCTGGGCATACGTTTTCCCTACTGAGGTCCTTCAGGACCTCCATGGCCCTTCTCCTGTTATAACAACTATGAGACAGGCCACCAAAATTAATGCCACCAGTATATTGACCCAGTCAAGGATCAGAACAAGCTCTGGCACGTTGGGTGCTTTCCCAGGGAAAGGCCGTTCCCTCTCACCTCTGCAGTCCTCCATGCACTCTCAAATATATACTCTCTGGGGGAATCCTCCAGAGAGGCTGGGGAGGCAGGTATCCCTGGAGAGGGGAGAAGAATGTTGCACAAGTGGAACCCTGACATCACAAAGCTGGCTTTCAGCCTCAATGTTTGGCAAGGATGATGGACAGTGTCTGAACAATGCTCAGTTCTCCCAAAACAGAAAGTGAAGGAGGAGAAGTGGAAAAATATGCCAATTTGGTTATAATCACATAATTCTTGGCCAAGACTGCCATTCATTTCTGATATATAATAATCTTAGAGCTGCAGAGCTTTTCTGAAGCATTGTTTGTTCAGACTATTTGAAAAATACTAGTTGCAGTAACTATAGAAAATAACTTGAACTGTGTATATGTTCATGAAAAACGCACACAGAGAACAAATATATCCTCTTTACTGGAAAGTAGGTGTCAAGAATCCTCCTGGATACCAAAGACAAGCATTAAAGCATTATATATATAGAAGGTGGTTAAGAAATGTATGATAAAGTGGACACAGAACATTGGGTACAATTTAAGTTTGGATCAGTGGGAACAAATATGGAAAAACAATATAAAACTCACTAAGTAAGTAGCTTTTAAATATATATATAAAATGATTTATAGATGGAATACAACTCCCACAAAACTAGGTTAAGGAATGTATGATAAAGTGGACACAGAATATTGGGTACAATTTAAGTTTGGATCAGTGGGAACAAATATGGAAAAACAATATAAAACTCACTAAGTAAGTAGCTTTTAAATATATATATAAAATGATTTATAGATGGAATACAACTCCCACAAAACTAGCAAAAATGGATATTAAAATTTCAAATCTTTGTTGGAGATGTAAACAAAAAGAAGATTCTTTTTATCATATGTGGTGGTCATGTGGGAAAGCCCAAAAATATTGGAAAAGGGTTGAAATGCTTTTGCAAGAGGTTGTAGAGATTCCGATAACTGTAACCCCTGAATTTTTTTCTTCTAAAAATAATCCCAGATCCAATGAAAAATATTTAGCCATCCATATCTTGACAGCTGCAAGAATTCTTTTTGCTAAACTCTGTAAAGACCCGGAGAATCCATCACAAGAGGAGTTAATATCAAAAATCCTGGAAAGAGCGGAAATGGATAAACTATCAGAATGGCTAGACTCAACAAGAAAGATGAATCATGGAGATTTTATTAGATTCATAAATTTTATGATTGGCTTAGAAATAGAATGCAAATTAGTATTTGATAATTGAAAGCCTAAGATTAATTTAGAAAAGGAATATGTATTATAAATAAGTTACACTGCAAACTTATGTATCTTTGAAATGTAATAGATAAGAACTAGCATTGTAAAATGTTCACGTTAATTTACAACCCCTGTTTATCCCACGTCCCGTCCCCTATCCCTACACCTAACCTATAAATTAATTTTTTAAAAAAAGTAGGTGTCAAGATGGAAATAAATAAGCCTTAATATTTTTAGTTATGGATTGCAGATTTATCAGACTTATGGAATTAAACAACTATACACAAGCACTGAGTACTTCTGCAAATACCTCTGCTTCTCCTTCTTTTCTTTATTGTGTCTTTCAAAGTCCCGGCCTCTCTCTTTCATTTCCCTTGGCTTCTCTTCTATCCGTTCCTTAACTTTATGCTTTTCCTTATGTTTTTTTGCTTGTGTGGCCTCTTCTTGCACTGGAGGCGGTGGACTAGGTGTTCGAGGACCTTTCTTTTTATTGTGGTTGCTTTTTGAACTCCTAAAAACCCAATAAGAAAACAAATAATTGATGGTTTTTAGTTGACCACACAGTTCTATCTGAACAAAATTGTAGCTTATTTTATAAATCTGCAGTAACACTCAGGGTGGATTTGAATTAAACTGAATTGATTTAAATCTCAATTTGAATTTTAAAAAACTGGATTTTTTTTGACGATTTAAATTTTTTAAAAAAATCATTTTTTAGAATTTAAATAATGATTTAAATCAATTTGATTTTGATAAATCATTTATTTTTATCCACTCTGGTAACATTCTAAACATTTGGGGGAAAGTGATCTAAAACCTGGCCCTTCAAAACTGGTTCCACTCTCACCCAATGTCTGCCACACCATTCAATGCGGGCCTTTGCTTCAGTACATTTGTCCAATGGGAGCCTCATGTTGCTCTATATACAGACAACGGACGCCAATCTATTTAGTACATCTGCACACAAATAAAACTTCCCCAGGACCAGTATATTGTAACATTTTAACCTTCTCTTACTATGCCAGGCAAATGGTCTGAACAAAGGGGGTGGGGGTGGCTCTAAAACAAAGCTCAAAGCTAAGACGCACATTTTGCACCACTTTTTGAATGCTACAAAATAAAGTTCCATAAAATATATCAATTATATAGCTGAAATTATTTATTTTTTAGATTTCTATCCTACCCATCTTGACCCAAGGTCTACTCTGGGCAATTAGAGAAGAATCAAATCTAAAGTTAGAGAATCAAATCTAAATTAGAGTATAATCAAATCTAAAGTTACAAGGTAAGAATCCAAAGAGGTGGAAATCTACAGTGCATCATATTTAGCCCATAAATATTCAAACAAATTATTATAAAACATTATACGTGATTATTCTACAGTATTGTCTGAAGTTGGGTGATTTCATTATTTCAAAATCACATTTTTAATTATCAAGAATTCTGAACCATTTTTATTTCTCTAAGTGCCACGTTTATAAAAGATAATAGTACAGTTTTAAATACCAAAGTAATTTTATATACAGACCTGATGATTGCTTCAAAATGGGTGGCACAATGCATGGGCTGTTAACTTAATTCTGTTTAAGTACTGTGAAATGATGATTGAATGAATCCTGACCCAGTACATTGGAAAAAGTTATGGACCACCTATAAAATAGTTTTATCACAGTACAGGTACCTAAATGCAATTTGTAACAATGCAAATGAATTGTGATTGTTTTTTCTTTTAGGAGCACATGATTATACCATATCATGCCCATGATTCATAAACTATGTCTCACTATCCAAGCTATTCAATGCTGCTGTTATCTGAAGCATTCTGAGTTCCAAGTGCTGCAGATAAAATAAACTGGCAACCTAACCTGCTATTTAAAGGAACTTCACATTGAGCTTAACACCACATATCACAAAACTAAACAAAGCAGAAATACAATTTTAAACACAAAAACATGTCTGTATACTAACCTCTGCTGGTCCAAGAGGGGTGAAGAAACTGCTGATGTCTTCTTTTCCCTCTTACTGGCAGAGGAGGTAGATTTGGGACTCACTCTTAATTTTGGCGATTTGCTAGATTTTCTTGGTGAAGGTGAGGATGATAATTTTGATCCAACTGCCTCTGGAGATATCTAAGAGATTGAATGAATCAGTATTTTTCACACCCAACTGTCTGCTTAATATTGATATGTACATCCCACAAACATATCTGCAAGTATCATATGCAACTTGGGATTCACATTAATCATGCCAAATCCTATCATCAACCTACTATCCGAACAATTAACTTCTATAATAGGTTTACAAAAGTGGAACTTCTGAAGTACTGTACAATACACTTGACAAGAGAAGAAGCCTCAAATTAACAGTAGGAAAACCTCAGGGGAGAGGGGGGAAGATAACGTTAGGGGGCACAGCCACATCAAGGATATGGCCGCACCCCAGTATATCCCCACAGCTTAAAAAAAACAAAAAAACAAACAAAACACCATCAGTGGGGGAAAAAAACAATCAGTATTTTGGCCAGGGACTCAGCCTCCCACCTCAATTGTCTACTTGGGTGTTAAATTTGAACTACTAAAAACAGAGGATTGCCCAGTTAATGGAGCAGCTTTGTGCTGCATTCTTCACACTGTGGCCCCAACACCTTTACTAATCTTAAACTGTGGCAAATGGCCAGAGCAGTAGGTCTGTCAAAACAATTTATATACCATCATGAAATTCTAAACACACTTGGGAAGAATATGCAAGACTAATATTTAACCTGACAAAAAAAAAACCATGAAGGCTAACTGCTGTTACTCCACCCTTCTTTGTGGAAGAAAAAGGAAGCCTACACATTCAGTACTTGTCATTACCAACAGAAGACACTTTATTGATAATCCTGAAGATCAGTGCAGTTATTATTCTTAACTTTTGCTCACTAACTAGTTTTTTGTTCTTCAAAATACAAACCTCCTTTTTAATTACGATTTCTTCCCTTTTCTCCATATTTTCTTCCTCAAGCTTCATTAACTCTCTCTGGATCTTCTGGCGCTTCATTTCCAAAGAAAGCTCGTGATCATAATCGTAGTTAGCGTCTCCGTTATCAGAATCTTCATTTATTAAAAAAAGAATACAGGCATGAGAACTATAATATAAGGGATAAAAATATTTGGGTTCAGGCTCATTTATTTAACATTGACTAAAAGAGATTATGTGTCTTAGAATTTATATAATTCAGCAAATAATTCAGTGCCCAAATTTTACAATACAAAGAAGTGTATTCACTTCACTGTTTTGCCAAGGGGTTTAGAACAGCATACATGATTCTTCTCTCTGTTTCTACCCTCAGAACAGCCCAGTTTTATCTCAACACTGGTTATAACAGAAGCAAGTATCTAATACTTGTACAGAGAGAAGAGCGAGAGCAAAAATCTGAAAGGAAGGCGGGGAGAGAAAGCAATTTTAGAATTGGAAGAAGGTGGAAGAAAATGAAGCATTGCTTCTCTGCTCCCAACCATACCAGTCAAAGAGGGCTTTTTCTACACTAAAGGAGGTTACTGGACTAGCACTATGCAGAGTTTTATATGCCAAGTTTGGCCCTTGGAAGACAGATCATTCTGAAATTCTCACTATTTCTCCTTCTAGTTAATAACAGGCTTCTTTCCTATCCTTCAAATGCCATGAAAGGACTCTCTCTCTCACCATCAGATCTGTGCCCATCTGTAGCTCTTCCTTTTTATAGTTCCCTCAACAACATGTCCCTCTGCACTCTATCCCATAAGTCACAACATGACTTAGGCTTGCTTCTTCCTCCTCTGTCCTGCTTCTGCCTTCCCCAGCTCTTTTCCTCCTTTGTTGAGTTCCTTGACAGTCTACAACAGTTTCACACTCTTCTCCAAATTCACACACTAGTGGCCTCTGGAGATGTAAGTAGCTATCACTATAGCAAGGTGGCTTCACAGACTGCAACTAAACCTACCACTGTGTCAAGAATCTACAGGTCAATGATACAACATGTGCTTTGCATGCATAAGGCCGGTGGTTCAAAATATTAAAAATTTAGTAGAAAAATATTTTTTAAAATTTTAACTGGATTTTACATTTGTTATTAAAGAGCATTTTGTGTTCAACCTCAAATATCTCATTATGAAACAGGCATTAGAAATTCTAATTCTATATTACGAGGCACTGGCTGAAATTCTTTTCATGCAGCTAAGGCAATTTGTAAGGCTAATGGCACCATCGGCTGCGGCAATTTTTCAGAAATAAAAAAATCAAATTCCCCTCTAAAACTCCTGAGGCTCCCATAGAACCCCCTTTCTCATTGGGAAGGTATCAGAGGCTTTGAGATGGGGAGAGGAACCTACAGTTCAATGCGTTCCAATGGGGGGGGGGAATTCACCAAAAATTAACGAAGAGTCAGAACAAAGCCAAATTAAGTTTGCAAAGGTTTTACAAGGTGCACTAACGATCCCAAGCATTTAAAACAGTTTTTGAACATTTTAAGATACACTTAAAATAGCAAAAACGGACATCGCTGAGCGAAACAGAGGGACCTAAACTGTCATCGCTAAGCGAGGCAAGGTCCCGAACATCGCTATGCGAAATTTCCCCATAGGAAACATTGCTAAACGGAGCGGAAAATGCTCCAAAAACCTCATCGCTAAGCGAATACATCGTTAAACGAGGCAATCGCTAAGCGAGGCACCACTGTATATAAAGCACAATCTCTAGTTCCCTCTAGTGGCCAGTTTTGGTTATTACATCATGGGAATACGTACAGTATTTCTGATTTTTTTCCTTTTAATACTTTCAGACTGTAGACACATGAAACCATGGATAACAATCCCATGGTTATGAAGGTCCTGCTGTAAAATATGTACATGCATTAAGGTTACAGTGAAGATAAGTACACTTTTGGTAGGCAAGGTTTCACATGATTATATCAAGTCTTGCTGCATAGTGCAGATAGATTCAATTTGATTTAAATAAAATCTATCTGGACTCAAAACTCAGCATCTTCAGTTAAAGTGGATCCTAAAAGGCATGACTAGGGAAGGTCAGTCAACACCAACTGTTACAGAACAATTCTATGGGTGCGTATTCAGACTTAATTGTCACATTCAGTGTGCTCTATTCTCTAAAGAAGTGTTTTAAGCTTGGAGCCTCAATGCACCAATAATTTGCCATGGAGATCTGTAGATACTGTGATAACTCACTTTTGAATCCCAAGAGAGACACAATGTTAAAACAGCACTCATTACCACTTTTCACAGGCCTGAGAAATGCCCTTATCCTGTACACAATCGCCATCAGTCTTTAAATGTGGGATTCGGGCCAGAGCTTGCTTGAACAGGGCCCCCCCTCTGTTGTGGCAGCCACCTTTTGAAATGACTTCCCCAAGAAGATTAGACAGAAGCAATGTTGCCTCTAATTTTCATCCCCTGCTGAGTGGCAGTCTCACTTATTGGGGTGGGGTGGGTTGGGGGGGTGGAGATTAATCCAAAACCCAGAAGAAAACAGGCATTAACACCGGCTGCTACTGCGCAGTGCCAATAGACATCCACATGTGCACCTTAGAGTGAACATTGGGCAGGACCCACAATTAAAGAGCAAGTTGTCTGTCCATATGTTTTGTTGACTGTTTCCCCCGTTAACATATGAATAACTTGTTTTTTTAAAAAATGAATTGCTCTTAACAGCTTTTACTGCTTTATTGGTTTATAATCATTAGCTATTGTTTTGATGGTGCCTATTTTAACTGTAGATGACTTTTAAAAATGAAAAGCAGCACAGAGATAATCTATAATGACCTCTAAAAATGTTCCCACAACAAGATGAGAAAGTGCTCCAAAGAACATTTGCACTTCCTCTGGAAGTTGCAGGAGTTAAAGTAGGAGTTCCTATGGGTCCTGAATCACATGCATATTGCAAGATAATTTTTATATATCCAACATTTTGAATTCTATATAAAAATTTTCATAGCCTGCTGATTATTCCTCTAAACAAGATAAAGCAACTTTATTCCTCTAAACAAGACAAAGTAACTCCAACAGCTTTCATTCACAATACCCACACTAATTTACCAGTGATAATCTTGCATTGGGATGCTGGGAACTGTAGGCTAAAACATTTGTAAGGCCACAGGTTGCCCACACCTGCCTTCAAGCAACAGTACTGGGCTTCCGAATGTGAGGATCTATGAGACCGTTTTCTCAAAACTAAAAAGCATGAATGTAGTCAGCTAACCTATAAAGCAAAGTAAAACAAAATATACCTAAACTCTCAATTGTGATTTCTGAACTATACAACCTAATTGACCTTATTATGCACTAGGTACACAATCTTACATGCATTTCTTTTGGAAGGAATATAGGAATGCATTCTCACTTCGTTTTCTAATTCATCCACTCTCATTTTTGCAATTTGAATGTACTCGCATATTTCACCTACCCTCTCTATTTCCTTCCCAGTCAGGATTTTCTTCTTCACTTTCTGGTGTCCTTTCTTTTGTAATTTTAATATCTTCCTTCCCCCTGTGCCTCCCTCTGGAAGACTCTTTCTATAGAAGTAAAAAATACTATAAATCAACTGCTTTTAAACACAGAAGTAAGAAACAGGCACGGTTACCAATATTGTGAATATCTTAGTTTAAGATAACACAGTGCAAAAACATTTAAATTGATTTTCCCCCTTATTCATTCCATATACTCATAATCAATAAGGGCAAACATTTGAAACTAACAAAATGGGCTCCCCTTTTCAGGAGATATATGCATAACAAATACTCAAGGAAGAAAAATACCTTATTGAACAATGGTTTTGGCATTATGAAAGACAAGCTCACATATATACTGATCCTCCTCTGTACTTTAGATGGTAAAATGTCAAGTTTCGGACATTCAGAGATCTTCAGTCAATCCAGTATAGCTCAAGAATATGCATATTAATCATACAAAAATGATGTTCAGAAATAACTTTTGAGTGCATTAATAAGCTATATGATGTGCCCCTTACATTAATGCCCATAAGACTCTAGTAATCCTTCACTCTCAACCAAGTGCAAAGGGAAGGGAAAGAAGATGCATTTCTGTAACATTATCTTTCCTAAATCTGTTCTGCCATTCAAACCCAGCTCCTTAGAAAGAAAGAAAAAAAGGTGGGGGGAAAAGGTCTTTACTTGTACTCTCAAGCCTGCAGTTGCTCTTGCAATGTATAGTGTAGGGTTTCAGGCTGCAAATGAAGACCTAGCTTTTTGTCTTTTCATAATCGCCTGAAGAAACCTTGGGCCTTCAGCCTAAATCAGTCTTGGGCTCTCCAGATGTTTTGGATTACAAACTACACCATTCCTCACCACTGAGCACACTTGCTGGGGCTGATGGGAGATGTGCAAAGCATCTGGACAGTATCACACTGAGAAAGGATGCTCTAGCCCATCATTGAGGCAACGGCCAGGGCAGAAACAAGCATCCTTGTTCAGTACACGATTACAGACTAGCAGTCAATTGTGGGAGTTCTGGCTAAGTTCTGGAAGTTGGAGTCTGGTTGGTAAATCAAGGAGAGTGTTGTTTCCCTACAAACAATTTTCTGCTCCCTACTAGGACAACATTGAACTAGAAAGGGCAAAAAAGTAAAAAGCTAGCAATCAAATGTTGCTTCTACCTTGTTTGCTGATAAACTGTCCAATATAATACAATGTTCATAAACAGATCAACTGTTTAAAATTACCAAGTACAGGGCAGGTTCAATGGAAACATTCACATATGGCAGAAATGACAGTATGCTGTTGAGTAACAGTGATATAGAGGTTGGTGTATGAAAAAGGCCTAAAGGGAAGATCCAAGAGCTTGCTAACAGAGGTGATGTACTTGAGGGGCCTGTAATTGGTTAATGTATTGGAGCATATTTTAACGAGATCTGATGGTCCCAACATTCAACCTCATACATACTGTACGTACATAGTTTTGGTCAGCTCTTTCTGGAGAGATGCAAACATTACAGGGTACATTTTATGGCATATGCAATCTGCCAGAAATGAAAAGCATTCCCTTCTTGGAACAACTTGTATCGAAGTCTCTAGACCTGTTTTTACAAAAACCACCCAATATCTTTGATATTTTCATGCACTGGCTGGACAGATCCTAATATCTTTATATTAAATCAATGTGATAAAACACATACTATTATAAGCAAGATAAATAAACCCGACAAGTCTGCAACCAAATAAAAAGTTTTCTTGTTGAATCAGATAGTTACTGAATCGAAAATACAAAGATTCAATACAGTGTCAAACAGTCTGCATAGCAAACTGTCCAAACTGGCATTGTTATTTATTCCAGTCACTTTTTTTAAAAAAAAAATGTAACTGATTGTTATTACGTGGTTGGTTGTTTTGAATAATAGCTACTATTTTGTTTGATTAAAAAAGGCAGGTGGTTAAAGATTTATTGCAAAAGAAGAAAGAAGACTTTAATTTCCCAGGCCAACGTCCTGGTTGGCTACCTCAATGCAGAATGTAAGCTGAAGATGGTCATGGATGCGCAGATGTTCTTGGACCGCAACTCCCAGAAACCTTCACAATCTGTGTTGATAAGGACTTCTGGGAATTGCAGTCCAAGGACTCAAGGTTGTTGGGAATGATTGATTTAAGAGGCACCAGCTACACAACTAGCATATCTCCAAACAGTAACGGCCCTATCCACAAATTGCATTACACACATATAATCCAATCAGATACCGATGCCAGTTTCTCACTGGCCCTGGAATGATGACATTTGAGGGGAAAGTGAAAAATTCTATGTTATTTTTCTTTGCCGCATTATATTTTAGGACACCAAAATGCAATTAAATTTTTGGCCAATAAGAATCTTAATTTTGTGAATTAAAATAGTACTATGGAAGAAATAACTTGATTCTAAGTAATTGTGGTATTGAGAGGAATTTTAAAGAATCCATTACAGGACTAGCTCCTTTGAGGAGACAGCAAAGCAAGGGATATTTAAGAGCTCCATTACTATCTTTCTTTCCCCCAACCTGTCCACAAAAGTGACAGTAAAAGATTCCAAGCCCTAGGGCCCTTGAGGAATTTATCTATAAACTATAGTTCCTGTAAATCGACATAAGGAAGTACAGGTTGTATAGATATAGCAGGCCCTACTCCTTGTAGCACGAAAGAAATAGCCAATTAAACATGGATATTCTTTGCAGTTTGTATTCCAGCTTAACAAGAAGTTGCTTTCTGTAAGAACTCTACTATGACCTCCTTCTAGTGGAAGTACCGACAGAAAACTGAAAATAATGGTCCACTGGAATACTGATGGTCTGAATGCCTTTATCTTTTGAGGCATACTAAATACACTCAAAATACAAATTAAACACATGCATTTCCAAACTGAATGGGAGGGAAACTTTTAAAGGTGGACTTCCTTGCCAACAATGAATGGTAGCACAGATTTTCTATACATACATATATGTTGTTTGCAACTGATTTTATTAATTACAAATTAATTAATTATTTAATTAGAAGGCAGATTATTTTTCATCATTTATAAGCTCAGTTGGGGCAGGGTATAATAGTGTGCATGTGTGTGTATATGTGTGCGTGTGCATAAGTGCACATGAAAGACAGAGCAAGAACCTGAGGTGAATTCCAATGCTGAACAAAAGGCCACAGAGCACTGCAATGGGAAGGACTGTCAAAAAAGTTCTGTTGAATGTGCAAATACCAGGTCATGAAACTGCAGTCAGCCAATAATTTACATTGAGAAATTACTGGTAAGACCCCAGAAAACTACCTCAGATACATTCTGTGACTGTGACATGTTACTGGGATTCCCACCCCTTTGGACAGCAGGCCCTTATGACATATCACAAACCACTTCTGAAACTTCCTCAAGTTTCAAAAATGGGTTGCTATGGGGCATGGATGGGAGAGAGGGACTGAATGGTTACTGTTGCAGAACACACAAACCCAATTTGACACACTGGCCAGGGCATTCCAAGCACATTTTAATTAACAGGTGTTAAAGACATCAGACAATGGAGCCCTACTCATGTTGGAGGAAGCAAAGCAGCCATTTCTGCCAACTTCTTCTCCCCTGTGCAGTTCCCTTTGCCCTCCCGAGAGCAGTTTTAGAGGGCGGGTGAAACCCCTGGAACAGCATGGGAAGCGGCCAAAGTGGCTGCAGGGAGAAGATGGTATTGGCGAAAATCATTCTACATATCCTTTCCTCCAGCATGAAGTTTCCACTTTCTCAGTTTCCTTCTCTAGGAACTGAAGGAGTTCCAGCCAGATGGACAGGGAAGTATGGATCCCATCTACTTGCGCCCAGCTGTTTTCCACAAGAGGGAAACTTCCATTGCAATACTCCTGAAGTAATCTGGGAAACAGATGAACCCCAACCTTACCCTAGCAGGAGAAGACTGCTCTTCTGTACTATGTTTCTGTGTTTCTGTTTCAATGTCTTGACGCTTATTCTTCATTCTTTCCCGAAGATCCCCTGTAGGCCTTTCTGGCGACCTGTACAAAGCAGATAAAAAGTACAACTGCTTCTACAGAATTTATTTTCAAAACATATATTCTATAACTTCTGCTCCTGCTTTCTTAATGTTCAGATATGTTTTCCAGTCTTCATATTTCCTATCTGTTTATCCCAGATCCATTCCGTAATAAGGATGATGTAGAACAATTACTACCTATTCTTACTAAATTGCAATTGAATCTGCCTTGGTTGAAGAAGCTTTGTCTATTTTAACCAAGTTTTGCAACTGCTAGAAGAATGGCAAAAATAATCCAAGTAAGGTCTAGAGAAAGTATTGCCCATAATGTTAAAGCCCTACATCCCATCCCAGCCTGAGAAAGGAAAGAACATTTCCAGATATTTATTATAGTCCTTCCTTCTTTGCACTATGCAAAATCTATTCATCCCAGACCAAATACACTGAACAGATATTTAAAAAATTATTGAATTCTAATGTCATTTGACAGCTGAGAGGTTTAGGAATCAGGCCATGGAGCCAAAAGTTGGGAATTTGATTCACCATTGTGCTTCCAGAGACAGAAGCTAGGCTGTGTGGCCTTGGGCAAGCTTCACAGTCCCAAGATGCTCCCAGAAGAGAATGGTGAACCACTTCTGAGTATTATCCATCTGGAAAACCCTGAAAAGTGTAAGAATTGACTAGACAAAACGGTGGATAAGAATGAATGTTTTTAAATATATCAATTTGATTTAAATCATGATTTAAACCAAATTTAAAAATTGATTTTTTACAAATTTAAACCATGTTAAATTCATCTAAATTAAATCAAATCCACCCTGTTTGATAGCTCATTATTAT